CTCCCCTTCCTTCCTTTCCTGTCCCCTTTGTGGCATCTGGTAAGGACTGCAACCAGCTGCGACACCCGACAATGGCTTCAGACATTGCCAAACGGCCCCTGGAGGGCACAACTGCTTCCCGTGGGGATGCATTGCTCTGTCCCCATGGCCCCAGCTGAGGGTGCCAGTGGTACACAGGATGCTGTCTCCTCACCTGGCTCACCCGCTCCGTGGCATCTGACCTCATCGACCCCTCCCTCCTCGAAGCATTTTCCCTTTTGCTTCCAACGACTTCACGTTCCCACGATTTTCCTTTTCTCTCTCAGGTTGTGCCCGAACTTAGTATATTTTAAGGTTTCCTAATAACACTTTCATTGTCATCTACTGATGTGTAAGAACAAGGGTTAGCCCCACCGGTTTGTCTCAGTGGATAGAGCGTCGGTCTGCAGACTGAAGGGTCCCGGGTTTGATTTTGGTCAAGGGCCCATGCCCAGGTTGTGGGCTCGATCCCTAGTAGGAGGTGCACAGGAGGCAGCTGATCAATGATTCTCTCTCATCGTTGATGTTTCTATCTCTCTCTCCCTCTCCCTTCCTCTCTGAAAACAATAAAAATATATTTTATATATAAAAAAAGAACAAGGTGTTTTAGTCCCATAAATATAAATGAAAAACAGGCGTAGCTAAACCCTGGCTCAGACTAGCACTACAGTAACATTAACCCATGGATAAAGACACTTGTAGACATATTAAAAAACATTAGGTTGCCAACTCAGAAAATTCGTGAAGGATACATAGCATTTCCAGTTTCTTTTAAGGTTCACAAGCGAAAACGTTGGGAGCCAACTGACCCGACAAACAAACGCGGGCGGCTGTACCATCACCGACCGCTCTGAGGGTGTCCCCGCCTATTTTTAACTGTCCTGTTGGCAGATGTCAGCAGGCAGCTGTGGCCAATGGCGAGGCTGCGGAGGGCGTGGAGAGCAGGTGTTGGCCCACTCACTCCCAGCTGTGAACCCTTCAAACCCCAGCTTTAGAGAACGTCCCCGAGGCTGGAGTTTAGCGCCTGGGGCGGGATCACGCCCCCCGGAGCTGTTTGATGGGAGCGTGCAGGCCTCCGTTGGGGAGCAGCTCTGGTCCGCCCCCCGCAGAGCCCCCCTCTTATTTGTCCAGCACCCTGTGTACTCACATCGCTGGTCAGGACAAAGTCTAAGCAGCCCACGTGGCCGGAGCCGAGTAGGAGAGAAGGTCCGGGAGGCAAGAGGCCTGACTGCATAGACTCAGTGATGGCGAACCTTTTGAGCTCGGCCTGTCCGCATTTTGAAAAACCCTAACTTAACTCTGGTGCCGTGTCACATAGAGAAATTTTTTGATCTTTGCAACCATAGTAAAACAAAGACTTATATTTTTGATATTTATTTTATATATTTAAATGCCATTTAACACAGAAAAATCAACCAAAAAAATGAGTTCGCGTGTCACCTCTGACACGCGTGTCATAGGTTCGCCATCACTGGCATAGAGTTTGGTAGACGATTCGAAGGACTTGGCTTTACTCCGGGTGTCATGAGGCCCCGCCTGGGGCTTCAGAGCAGAATGACCACAGCGCCATTGTGGCTACGTGGTGGACAGCAGTCTGCAGGAGGGCGAAGGCGTGAGCAGGGAGGGTAGCGAGGGGCACATCACAAGAATCCAGGTGAGGTGCCCGGCCGGCATGGCTCAGTGATGGAGCATCGACCTCTGAACCAGGACGTCACGGTTCAATTCCTGGTCAGGGCACTTACCTGGGTTGTGGGCTCGACCCCCAGTGTGGGGCGTGCAGGAGGCAGCTGATCCATGATTCTCTCTCATCATTTGATGTTTCTATCTCTCCCTCTCCCTTCCTCTCTGAATAAAAATGTATATAGATATATTAAAAAAATATTTCTGAGTTTATACCTGGCACAGGTAATCAAGCTTCTCTGGTAATACAGCCTTCCCTGGCACATTCTGATCCACAGGGTTTTGTCCTGTTTCGTCCATGTCAGATCTGCCTGCTCCGACGGGTCACGCTAACGCTGAGCTGCTGTGCAGCGTGCATGCGAACATGTGAGTGTGTGTAGGCGTGTACATGGCACCAAGCCTTCCTCCTTAGTATCTCGTTTGTAGACACGACATCCCCCTTATATTTGATACCTTCTCTCCCCCTGGGAGTCCCCCATTCGTGTCAACTCTGAACCACCTGGCTCTTCCCCAGAGCAGGTGTAAGGTAGCCCCGGAACCGCATCTGCTAAGGAGGGTCTCCCCAAGTTCCTGTCTCAGGCCCCCGTCCCCTCCCTAAGACCTCGCTGCTGTCCTAGGAGCGGTGGGAGGAGTCCAGAGACCTGTGTGGGTCGTGCTGGGGCTGGTGGGTAAAAAGATACCAGTCACCCCCTCTCCTTCCAATAATCAGACAGAAAACAGCCTGGGTGGCCAGGTGGGAAGATACCTGGCCCTCAGCTGGTCTTACTCAGTTTCCTGGCAGCTACTGCCCCCCTGTGGACGGTCGCAGTTACTGACTCCAAACCGGGCTTCCTGGCCAGGCTGGTCTGGCCCAGGCTGTCTGCTAGTCGCTCCAGGTCCCTGCGCTTTCAGACTCACAGCGGCTTCGCTGTCAAACACGCCTCCCTCCTACGCGGCCCTCTGTTCAGGCAGCGCGAGGGCCACCCGAGGACACCCAGTGGCTTGGTTTCCGTAAGTCGGTTTGAGGCAGAGAGACTCAAAAGTGGCCCCCAGTGACCTCGGTCTCTGGGGATTTCTGCCTCCGGTGGCCTCTCCACCTGATCGTGGGCGGGGCCTGGGGCAGCTGTGCCCCCAGAGGTGGGAGGTGACAGCTGGGCATTGCCTGGGCGTCTGGAAGCCTGAGGGGTGGGTGGAGCCCGTGGCCTTTTACCCATCAGGAGGCCCTGACTTGCCCAGGCCAGCCCGGTCTCGCATGAAAGGGCACCCGGGCCCTGGGCTCCATCCAGACTCATCCGTCAGACTCTCAGACTCGCTGGCCCACTGCCCCCCGCCCGCGCCCCGTTTCCGGGCCCCTTGCTCTGCCCACACGGTTCAGCTCGCATGTCCCAGGTGGAGTCGGGCTTGCTCGCCTGGTTTGCTCTCGATGCCTCAGCAGGAGCTCAGCCCCGGGTTTGCCCGCAGGTTCCCTGCAGCGGAGGCTGTGGGTAAGGACTGCTCCTGCCTTCACCTGGGCGCTGCGGGGCGGCCACAGCCCCGTTCCCGTTTCCCTGGGCGTCTAGGGTCATCATTCATCCTTGGAGCCCACGGTGCTGTCCGTAAAAATCCCTGTGACCAGCTGGTGCGGCTCAGTGGGTCGACCTATGAACCAGGAGGTCACAGTTGGATTCCGGTCAGGGCACATGCCGGGTTGTGGGCTCGATCCCCAGTAGCAGGCGTGCAGGAGGCAGCTGATCCATGATTCTCTCATCATTGGTGCTTCTCTCTCTCCCTCTCTCTTCCTCTCTGAAATCAATAAAGATAAAAAGAGGCTGTGGAAGCCAAGAGGACACAAGCGGTGTTTGTCGCCCCTTTTTTCTGTCTACGATGTGTTCTCCTCCGTCCGCTGGGCAGCACTGCTGCCTTCTTCTCTGAAGACTCCTTCCTGCCGGCGGCAAGGTGTCCTCTTGGCTTCCACAGCCTCTTTTTATCTTTATTGATTTCAGAGAGGAAGGGAGAGGGAGAGAGAGAAGCACCAATGATGAGAGAATCATGGATCAGCTGCCTCCTGCACGCCTGCTACTGGGGATCGAGCCCACAACCCGGCATGTGCCCTGACCGGAATCCAACTGTGACCTCCTGGCTCATAGGTCGACCCACTGAGCCGCACCAGCCGGTCACAGGGATTTTTACGGTCGCAGAGTGGTCCTGAGACCCCGTGGTGTGGACCAATGTGGAGGCCTGGCCGGGGGAGGCCGGCGGGCCCGCTTCTCAGGCCCAGGCTCCACCGAACATCGCAGTCAGTTTGGCTTCCTCTTGACAGCGGGCCAGTGGCTGGTGAGGAAAGAGCCCGCCGGCCGCGGCCGCGGGGAGCTGGGAGGCGGCGACAGGGGACTAGAGGGGCCTCTGGGGGAGTGATAAGCCCGGAGAGGGTGGTTTTGGGCGGTGCTAAGCCTCACCATTAACGCATTCCTTCCTGAGTCCTGCTGCTTGGGGTGAGAGGCTGCGGTAACACAATGAGAGCTGTTTGCTTCTGGCTCTTTCTCTCCGCTTTTGGCTCACACAGGGTCGCTCAGTGGGGCTCCTCCTGGACAGCAGCTGCTCTAGCTGCTGGCGCCATGGTGGCCGGAGGGGCGGCAGGGGCTCTGGGGTCAGCTGACTTCTGCTCACCTCTCCCACTGGGAGCCACTGGGAGCCACTGGGAGCCACTGGGAGCCGCGGAAACCAGCCTCCCCTCACCCTTCAGGGGCCGAGGGGCTCTGGTCAGTGGGGACTAGTTCTAAGGAGAGAGATGAACGCAGTGGCACACTCCCCCCTCTGAATCGCCTCCTATGATCGATCGCTTTAGAGTTTACAGAGCTCACAGGCCCCGGCCCTGCCTCTCCCCGTCTGCACGTGTGTGTTAGTCACAGTGTGAGGCCGGGCGCCTCAGTGTCACATGCATCTGCCCTTCCCAGCCCCATTTTTTTTTCTCTCCAAAGAATCTTGTAAAAAAACAAGGTTCAAGGCTTAAAAAGAAACAGCACTCCTCCACTTCAGGGCACATTATCCAAAGTCAAATCATTCTTTTGCTCTGTGTCGTTCACACGTTCAAGTTTCAGTTCTCTGCAGTCCGGCTCTCTTGTGTCTTTTGAAGTGAACGGAAGAGTTTGCTATTTACTGTTATTTCCTGGGTAACAGGGCTGCCAGGGTACATTCGGATTTCGGAAAAACAACGGATCTCTTTAAAAAATATAATTCGCAGCCAAGATTGCGTAAGACAACACTGGCGCTGAGGAATGATTGGTTATCTGGAATTCGAATTTAATCAGGTGTCTTATATTTTAATTTGCTGAATCTGGTTCACCCTACCTAATGGCAAGCAGGTTCTTTCGTTTGCCTTCGCACCCTATAGCCTGTTTTCACATGCGTTTGTAGCTAAAGACAAAAACCTAATTCTCTCAGAAAAACAATGACCAGTTGGCAAAAAAAGAAAGAAAAAAGTTCCTTGGTGTGAAACAGAATGTGCAGCTCAGACCCCGCACCCTCAAGGGCCCGTCTTGCAGGTCGAGTTCTGCAGCTGGGCTTGGGCTTGGGAAGTCGCCCGTCTTCATGGGGATCCGCTGGCCCCACCCACCGGCTGAAACGCGATCCGAGTTGTAGCGGAGCCGGAAGCTGGCCGGCGCCTCCTTCCCAAGGTAAGGGTGTCTTCTCCGCTTCTGTCCCAGCTCTTGGCAAAGCGTGGAAACATTTGTAAAAGTTGAACTCAGCCAGGTGACAGCACTGGCCGGGGGGTGGGGGGTGGGGGGGACAGGGGAGGGCGCTCCGTGAGCAAACTGCCTCCCGGAGCCCGTCTGGAGGTCCGAGCGCCCACCGCCGGCAGGGCTGACCGGGTCCCGGTGACTTTGACTTGTGAGCTTTCGCCCCACGGGAGGGCTGAGAGCAGAGCTGTGTGGAGCCTGACAGGCAATGGCTGTTCACCCACGTGTTTTATGGTTTAACTTTTAAACCGTGGGAACTCCCTTTTATATTCACTCCGCATGACGTAGTCACCTGTGTGAAGGTGACTTAGGGCCTCACTTGGTTTTTTTTAAGTGCCTTTTAAGGTAGGAATTTTAGCTCCCTCCACCCCCACCCTCGCCCGGGTGCAGCTTTAAAGCTGTGAACTCTGCCCTTAATTTTTTTCCTTTTTTTTTTTTTTTGCATCTTGCCACGCCGCCCAGGGGCACTGGGGGTGTTTCCGTTTGTAAATGAGTTGTCAGGAGCGTTGCTTCGCTAAGCTAACATCTTCAGTTCAGAGATCTTCATTTTTCTTGGAATTAGAAGGTGGAGCAGAGGGAGCGGCCTCGGTGGGCAGGGCGGGACTAGACCTGGCCTGTCGGTTTGTTGACATCAGGAGCCAGCCTTTCAGGACGGCTTTGTGCGAAGGGGTGAGTCCTACCAGGTCGCCACCGGCGCTGTCCCACGGGGGCTCCTGGCTGCTGTGACCGATCCACCAGGACCGGGCGGCCGCCTCCAGGAATTGGCCCAGAGGCGCATCTCCAGTTGTGGGAGGAAACCGAGATGGGTTTTTCATTAGGGACCAGGGAGTGGGTGGAGGCTCTGAGAGAGAGAGGTCCCGCAGGTGGTGGTCCCGCAGGTGGTGGAGTCGGGCGTGGTGGAGTCAGGCCTGGTGGAGTCAGGTGAGATTTCAGTCCATCTTCTTGTTAATCCTCACCCGAGGATGTGTCTCCATTGATTTTTAGGGAGAGTGGGAGGGGGAGAGGAAGGTAGAGAGGGACATTGACGTGAGAGACATACATCGATTGGTGGCCTCCTGTATGCGTCTTGACCAGGGCCCAGTCAGGGAGGAGCCTGCAACCGAGGGATGTGCCCTTGACCAGAATCGAACCCGGGGCCCTCTGGTCCGCAGGCGGCGCTCTGTCCACTGAGCCACACCGAAGGCGCAGGTCCATCTTTAATGGGGACCTGCTTTGCGGCAGGCGATGTGCGGAGGGTTCACAGAGGCTCTGCAATCTTCACGGAAGCCCTGGATGTGGCTCCCACCGTCTCTCAGAACGAGAGAGCGAAGGCCCGGTGAGCTGAGGTCACTTGCCCGAGGTCCCTCGGTGACCGCTGGGCCCGGCCCAGGTCTGTGACTTCCAGGGCCACACTGTTCGCTCTCAGGGCGCAGTAACTGATGGCATTTTAAATGGTCGCCGTCAGAAACGTCCAAACCTGTGAAGAATTCTTACGAGTTTATCTGAGCCAACCTGACCATTGCGGGGAAGCAGAGAGCTGAGTGGGTCGGGATGAAGCTCCGGAGTATGGCAGTTCCTCACCTTGTTTCATACATTACATCAGAGGAGACGGAAGTGGGTTGGGTGAGCTCCATCGGGGATGGATTAGAGAGGCAGAGAAAGCAAATCGGGGAGACCTCTGGGATGGGGTAAAGGGTGGGGTAGAAGGTGAAGTGACCCGTCTTTCACAGGGGTGAGTACTGGGGAGTTAATAGCCAACAACTAACAAGATAACAGTAACAGTGAGAGGATTCCAGGCTCTGTGCCCGCCCACAGGCTGTGCCCCGAGGGGTCTGGAAAAGGGAATTTAGCCTGACTTTCCACAGGAATGCTGCCCTGGATGCCAAAGACTCAGGCAGGCTCAGTCAAGGTAGAGGCTGACTTTGCCGTGGAGATTCTAGCCCAGGACATGCCCGCCACCACCAACTGCGTGTACTCAGCAAGTTCCCATTCAGGCCACCCTCTGTGGTGACTTCAGGCCTCTGAGCTGGTCGGGTAGCGTGGCCCCTGTGCGTCCACAGATCTGCAGGGAACGGGAAAACAGTGAGGGGTCCCGTGGGCTGGTGCCTCTGGCGGGAGCGTGTGCCCTGAGGGGTAGGAAGAGGGGGTCACCCTAACATCCCGGTCAGTTAGTGTAGCTGCAGGAAGACAACGGACAGGCTCAGGGAAGCTCTCCTTTTGCCTCCAGCTGAGGCTGGCAGTGAAGGTGATGGCTCTCGCCGAACTGGCCCCGCACGCGGGACTCTGGGTCTCCGGCGGCACCTGTCTTCCTCCTGCTGACCCGCCTGGCGTCACCTGGTTGTCAGTGCAGCCGGAGGAACCTGGAAGGGTGGGAGGAAATCATGTTCCCACCGGACCCATTCAGTGGTTAATTTCTTAAAATCGTCCTCCCTGTGCTTCCCGCCGTGAGAACGGAGCGGGAGACATCGTCGTCGTCTGGGGAAGTGGAAATACTTGGCTCATTTTTCAGTTCCCCTGCAGTTTGAGATTCAGCTCTCAAGGTCAATTAATCCTGGATTTGGGGGTTTGTAGGACGTGCGAGTTAAATTGCCAGGGAAGCGGGAAGCAAGGTCTGGACTATTTTGGGAGGTGAGCGCAGGAGACGAGGATGAAAGGAGTGTGGACGGAAGGGGCCACATGCTGACCTGACCAGCTTAGGGGAGGCCTGCATGGGGGTCTTGCAAACTCAGAGACCTAAAGTCACCATAAAGGATGGTCTGAGAATTAAACTTTAAAAGCAGTGATGGTGGGCAGTTACGTCCTAGGCCGGTATCTTCTCTGACAAGGTCAACCTTTACCTTAACTGAGCCTGTCTGTCTTTTTGCATCTATGATAACATACCCTTGAAATGTCTGGGTAACTTGTAACTTCCCTTTTTCTGGAGCCCCTGGGGCACAGCCAAATGTGCTGGGCGCCAGGACAGATGCCACAAATTCCTTCATTATCATGTTAATTGATCCTGCACCCACCTAAGTATGTGTCCATCATTTAACTTTTTATCCAATCCCAGGGGTTTCCCTCCTTTGCTTTCTCCCTCCTCCTTAATCTGTCACCAATGGATTTCATGTAACCCACCTACGTCCCTCCTCTGATTTCAATGTATAAATACAGATGTAACCCTCCATTCTCTGGAGCATTATCTCAATTCATTGAGGTTCTGCTTCCCGGCATATGTCGACAGTTTGGCTCAAATAAACTCACACAAATTCTTTACAGTTTCAATGGGTTTTTTACGTTAACAGAGCAGGTGAGCGTTCCAGCTGTCTCACCGCAACAGTGTCAGAAGTGGGCCCCTGCCGGTGCAGGGAAGGCAGCAGGGGTGGTGGATACGGGGCAGCTACGATTTACCGACAACCCAGTGTTTGTAGACGTTGAACTAAAACAGTTAGGAATTGACCCTGGTTCTTCAGGAGCTCTGGTTCCCGAGCCAGATCTCTGCCTGGCCTCCCAGACTCGGAGAGTGGCTGGGCCTTCTGAATTAGGCTCATGCACACGGCAGCCTTTGTCGCAGTCCTGCCCCCACTCACATTGCTCCGTCTGCAACGCGGCTCCTCTCGGGACTTGCCTACCTCCCCGGGGAGGGGGCAGTGATGTCGAGTGGAAATGTAACCGGACAACCAAGGCGTCCGGGCTGCCTGTCACTACTTGAGCCAGTTCAACCCCCATAAGCCAGCTGCTTACATTGGGTAGAAGGGCAAAGATGAAGTGGGGAAGCAGGGATTACAGGCGTGGGAAAGTAGACTCCAGATAATCACAGGTTACAAGTCATGCGGGCTGGGGGCGGGGGCGGGGGCGGGGGGAGGGTACAGGAGGGCGGGCGCCTCTGGGCACCCGGGACCAGATGACAGGCCATAGGGGCTGGGGGTTGTACAGAGCAGGTGCCTCCGGGACTAGATCATTTCGGCCACGAGGTTGTCAATCTTTCCATGATGACAGGCAGTTCTCAGGAGGATGGACCGCATTCCGATGTGAGCTCTCCTGTCCCAGGGCGCACAGCTCCCAGCAGGCGGGGATGTGCTTTCTCTAATCCAGTGGTTCTCAACCTTCCTAATGCTGCGACCCTTTAATACAGTTCCTCATGTGGTGGTGACCCCCAACCATAAAGTTATTTTCGTTGCTACTTCATCACTGTAATGTTGTTACTGTTATGAATCGTAATGTAAATATCTGATATGCAGGATGGATTTTCACTGCTACAAATTGAACATCATTAAAGATAGTGATTAATCACAAAAACAATATGTAATTATATATGTGTTTTCCGATGGTCTTAGGTGACCCCTGTGAAAGGGTCGTTCAACCCTCAAAGGGGTCACGACCCACAGGTTGAGAACCACTGCTCTAATCGAACAAAACCATCAGGTTAACAGAGCAGGACTCACAGTTCTGATCATCGGAGCTGGTCCCCGTCTGCGCGCTGCAGCGCCCATGCCCAGCCCAGCCCTCTCCTCTGCCGCGAAGGTGGTCCCTTCTGGCTGGGAGGCGGCCTCTCGCTCACCGCTCACTCCGCACAGTCCAGGGCTTAGCTCACACGCTTCCACGAATAACCCCGTACCCCAGGGGTGGGCAAACTTTTTGACTCGAGGGCCACAATGGGTTCTTAAACTGGACCGGAGGCCGGAGCAAAAGCATGGATGGAGTGTTTGTGTGAACTAATATAAATTCAAAGTAAACATCATTCCATAAAAGGGTATGGTCTTTTTTTTTTTTTAGTTTTATTCATTTCAAACGGGCTGGATCCGGCCCGCGGGCCGTAGTTTGCCCACGGCTGCCCTACCCTCTTCCCTGTGTGGTCCCGGGGCCCAGGTTGGCCGATGCGGTGAATGTGTCCTTTGAAGGAAGAGTGTCCTGCAATCATCCCAGAAGCATCACTGGCCACAGAGACATGGAAACAGCCTCCCCCTGGGCGGTGGCACCCGACCCGGAGCCAGGGACTCGCTCCTGTTTATTCCCTCGCTGACCTTGTGTTTGTCATATTTTATTTCCTTTTTTAAAGTAAATTAAAAAAAAAATTTTGATTTCAGAGAGGGAGAGAGAGAAACATCCATGATGAGAGAGGATCATGGATCGACTGCCTCCTGCACGCCTCCTACTGGGATTGAGCCCGCAACCCGGGCACGTGCCCATGACTGGAATGGAACCCGGGACCCTTCAGTCCACAGGCCGATGCTCTATCCACTGAGCCACACCAGCTAGGACATGTCCTATTTTCCTAGTGACTGGCAGGTGGGCGCCTCTGAGTCACTTCCCTTCCTGTCTTCTGCTTTCTCCTCTCACGGTTCCCAGCCTGCGTGCCCACCGTGCCTTCTGGAATCACCCTGGGAGGCGGGAGGCGGGAGGCGGCCCTGCGTTTATTCCGGCTCACGGCCGGGGTTCTGCAGATGAGGAAGCCGAGCCAGGGGTCCCGTGACCTCACGATAGTATCCAGCTCCTCGTGCATGGCAGGGAGCAGAGACCCAGCCTTGCTGCCACTCCCCCTGCAGAGAGGTCAGCGCCCAGTGACTGTGAGACGGGACCGGCCCCGCCCTCGGGGCCATTCTCTAGGCGCGTGGCCCGTCCTGCCTTTAGTTTTGTGGCGGCTGGGCCACGGCCACCTGGTGAAAGCCATGACTCGGATCTTCTCAAGAGAATGTTACCTGGTCCCAAAGGCAGGTCTGCCCCCAGCAAAGGGACCTGAGAACCGTGCTTGAGCAGGAAACCCTCGCAGGGCCCACTCCTCGCAGTTATCGGCTGCCTCCTGCACGCCGCCCTCTGGGGATGGAGCCCACAACCTGGGCCTGTGCCCTGACCGGGAATTGAACCGTGACCTCCTGGTTCATGGGTCCTCGATGCTCAACCCCTGAGCCACGCCGGCCGCGCGGAAACCCCGTTTTTATGGAGAATGAGCTGCTTTGTGGGCTCTTCCCATCAGAGCCCACACGCTGCCTTTACTCACCACCAGTAACCTGTCCCCGCCTGTTCATCCCCAGCCCGGATGGTTTGCGGGTTTGGGTTAGACACGCACAGGGAGGTGGGCCGGAGGAGCCAGTGCCGGTCAGGCCGGTGGTGCCTGTGAGGCCGGAGGAGCCAGTGCCGGTCAGGCCGGTGGTGTCCGTGAGGCCGGTGGTGCCCGTGAGGCCGGTGGCCGGAGGGCCTCACCTGGATGCAGGAGAAACACCTGGCTGACAATGGCGCTTCCTAATCCAAGGCCTCTGGGCCGCAGGGAACAGAAAGATTGCCTCTTGCAATGGGTGGTCTGTCGCCATCACTTTCCAAGATTGCAAATTAACGCCCCCCCTCCCTTCCGCCGTGCCATCATGATTAGCGCAGGGGGTCGGAGAAGGGGCCAGATGCGCTCAGGGGCCGCATTTGCATCCAGCAGCAGCTCCTGTGAGCTCGCTAAGCTCTCTAGGTGACGCGGAATAAAGCCTCTGGTTTTATTGGACGAGTCGGTCCTTCCCGGTCAGACTCCCAGCTGTCTTCGTCCTGTCGCGGCGCCGGGGCAGGAAGCCGTGAGGCCGTGCCGGCTTTCGGGGGCTTTGCTCCGAGCCTCACCGCGTAAGAGGTGGAGCTGGGGGCCAGCCCGTGGAGACGCCACCCACCGTCTTCCGCTGCGGCCCGTCGTTGAGGATTCGGGGGGCTGCCGGCTGAAAGCAAGTGGCTCTCTGGCTCCCCTGTCCTGCATGTGGAAGCTTCTATCGTTCATCTCAGTTGCCTCTGAAAATAACGCCCTTTCATCTTCCTGTGCAGATGGCAGCTCCCGGACGCACCGCGGCGGCCCTCCTGCTGCTGCTGCGCCTCAGCCTGGTGGCGGGCTATCCCAGCGGCAGAGTGACGGAGTCCTGCGGGGACATGGTCCCCAGACACGGCCACGCCCCGCGCCCCGACCCCGTCCACAGCGTGGCCGTGGCCCGGACGACATTCATGCCGGGAGACCAGATCGAAGGTACGCGTGCGGGGTTCCCCGTTCACAGGCCGAGGTCCATCCTCCCGCTGCACCCGAGGGGCTGTTGCCGTCGGAGTCCCAGTCCCAGGGAGGCCCCTCACCTGTTCGGTGGATGCCATCGTCCTCACCCCACGCTTCCCATGCGTGTGCTTAGCTGCTGCAGACGCTCTGCTCCCCATTCAGGGCTGGTTTTCAAACATGTGCTTATCATGTTTAATGTGTTGTCATGAACAATACTATTTATTCCACAGAAAGGAAAATAAAGTTTATTTTATTTGGTTTGAGATAGCATAAACCCTTATCTTTCTTTTTCCTTTTTATTGAGCCTTTCTCTTTCTTTTTTAATTTTTAAATATATTTTTATTGATTTCAGAGAGGAAGGGAGAGAGAGAGAGAGATAGGAACATCAATGATGATAGAGAATCATTGATCTGCCGCCTCCTGCACACCCCCTACCGGGGGTTGAACCTGCAACCCGGGCACGTGCCCTGACCAGGAATCAAACCTGGGACCCTTCAGTCTGCAGGCTGACTCTCTATCCACTGAGCCAAACTGGCTAGGGCTCTCTTTCTTGATACAGTGTAATCTCTTATACTAGTAGTTCTTTGATTCTTCTGGCAAAATGTGGACTGGCTAAAGGTGTATCTCGAACAGCATTCTGCAAACTCCACTTCCTGCAACTATTCCCAGCACTCTCTAACCAGAAGAGTATTCGGAAAGCACACTTTATGTGCATATATCAGGCTTCTTAGCGTTGCATGCTGCGTGGTAGGACGGTAAAGGGCCTAAGGATTCGCAGTGAAGAAACAGCATTACTTTCATCCAGCGTTTTCCACACTAGTTTGGCCTCATGGGCCTGACCATGGCCCACCTCTCCCCGCGGGACGGCGGTTAACATCTCTCGCAGCGACTGTCCCGTGCAGCCGAGCCTGGAGCTGTGTCTCGGGGACGGTCGCTGCCGTGTCCTCTCCTGGGGAAGCTCTGTGTGTGGACAGCCGTTGGAACCCGGCCGCGCCGCCTCCAGCAGTTCCCTCTGGGCAGTGCCAAACCTCTTCCCCGTCTCTCTGTTGCCGCAGTTACGGTGTCGGGGCCGGAGTTTAAAGGCTTTCTCATCGAGGCCCGGGATGCTGAGGATCTGAGCGGCGCTCCTGTGGGCTCCTTCACGCTGATTGACAGCCAGGAGTCCCAGCTTCTGACTTGCGGAGATAAGCAGGTTTGTGGCTGGTTTAAAACTGGTTTCTGTCTGTTTCCACGGGCCTTGTCACAAGAGGGTGGCGCGTGCAAGATAAACGACATTGCCCACGTGATGCAAACATCTAAACAGATGCCCAGTGACCCAACTCCCCCTTCACCCCTCCTCCCCCCCCCGCCCCCATTTTACTACTGGCAATCTACTTTACACATGCGCATCCTAGGAAAGGCAGGGCAGAGCTTGAAGAGTGTATGCCTCCTAATACTTCATGTGCTATTGACTCAGCGTGTTGATTTGGGAAGGTGTAAATGTTGAAGATAGAGTTCTAGAGAGGGACGGAAATTCAATTTTTGTCATTCATTCGTTTGTTTAGTAAGCATTTATTATCCCAGGAACTGTCTTGGAGAGCTCATAGCCGGGGACACGAGTAAAGCATGCGGACACGTGACATAGCACACGGATAGGACATGGATGTAGGACAGACACATGAGTAGAACAGTGCGCACCCACAGGATGGGGGAAGCATAGCTAGGGAGCCACACCCAAGCTCGAGGGGATGGAGAGGGAGCTGCTTGGAGGACCCGACCCCAAAGCTGGACCACAGGGCATCTGCCAGGTGAAAGGAAGAGGGAGGTAAGATTGAGAGAAAGGAATTATGCAAATATAATCACCACCTATTTGGAGGCAGGAATATTTTTTCTTTTGATGAGTCTCCTGTATACTAGTTGCATGTATGAATGGAAGGAATATACACTTATAGTATAAATGAAATAGCAAGCCAAACACACCCAGTATTCATAACTCTCTTTAGTTCCTTTTTTAAAAAAAATATGTTTTTATTGATTTCAGAGAGAGAGATAGAAACATCAATGATGAGAGAGAATCATGGATCGGCTGCCTCCTGCACACCCCACACTGGGATCAAGCCTGAAAGCGGGGCACGTACCCTGACCGTGAAGCAAACCTTGACCTCCTGGTTCATAGGTCGACGCTCAACCACTGAGCCACCTGGGCCGGGTTCTCCTTAGCTCTTGCATTTCTGCGGACTGGGATTTATTCAGAGCCAGAGCTAGTCTGGTCTCCCCAGTCAACCTGCATGTACTGGGTACGTGAGACCCTGTTCTAATAAAAAGGTCTCTACTAGAGGCCGAGGCCGTGCACCAATAAGTCCCTTTGCAAATGAGTCCGCTCCGGCCCTGCTGAGCCGGCCAGGGGCTGACGGAGAGCTCTTTTCCATTCATCACAGGGGTCAGCGGTGAGCCACACCAGTGCGCACAAGAAGACAGAAGTGAGAGTCTACTGGGACGCCCCCGGCAGCGCCCCCAACCATGTGCAGTTCCTGTGAGTAGAGACCTGCCCCGGTGTAATTCCACAGCGATGGTCTGTCTCATTCTGTACCTATTGGCGGACTTTCCCTGCGGGGGGGCTGCTGGGGTGATAGCACCGCCTGCGTATGTAAGCAGCTGTTTGGCTTCTTTTCTTTCTCCCTGTCTTTTTTTTGTTGTTAAGTATATTTTTATTGATTTCAGAGGGAGAGAGAGACAGAAACATCAGTGAGGAGGAGAGAGAATCATGGATCGGCTGCCTCCTGCACGCCCCACACTGGGGATCGAGCCCGCAACCCGGGCCTGTGCCCTGACCGGGAATTGAACCGTGACCTCCTGGTTCACAGATGGATGCTCAGTCCCTGAGCCACGCCCAGGCCTGCTGTGTTCGTTTTTCCTGAGCGTGCACCCAGCACCTGGCACAGGGCCTGCCTGCCTCCTGAGAGGCACGGGGTAGACACTGGATGTGTGAATGCAGCATCGCCCGCCTTCACGCTGACAGGAGCCCTCAACAGTCCTCGAGTCTGCAGGGAGCTGGGCTGAGACTTGATAGACTTGGGATGAGACTTTAAAACCCACACCAGCCCTGACATGTGGGGCAGCGGGGCACATTGCAGGTTAGGTGGTCGGAGCGCGTGTCCCTGGAACCTCCCAGAAGGTCATCATGGTGTAGCGTGAATGGCTCCTGAGTGGCGTGAGGGGCATGGCTTTAGGGGAGAAGTGCCCCCCGACACGCCTCCTCCCTGCACTCCACCTCGTGCACCAGGTCCCGCGCGCAGTCACAGGGCTCGCACCCGCGTGTTGTGTGGCCTGTGAAGACGGGGCTGTCACCCCGCACAGCTGGCGGCGGCTTCTGAGCCCCGGGCAGCCTTGCGCCCTGGTGGCCGCTGCCCTGCCCGCTGACCGAGCACTGGGAGGTGAATGAGGGTGTGCAGTCTTGGCATGTTGGGGGGGGATCGTGCAGTTTAGTCTCTGGCCTGGCGTTGGGAGCGTGCCCCCCAATGACAAGTCAGAGTAGAGAAGAGGAGGGGAAGGGGGGAGGAGGAGGAGGAAGAGCAGGATGAGGAGGAAGAGGAGGAGGAGGAGGAAGAGGAGGAGGAGGAAGAAGAGGAGGAGGAGGAGGAAGAGGAGGAAGAGCAGGATGAGGAGGAGGAGGAGAAGGTGAAGGAGGAGGAGGGAGAGAGCCATCAGAGATCTGGTAGGCACTCCTAAGTCGCGTGTCCCTTCTGAACTCCTTCTCACCCTTGGAAGTTTTGATCTGCCTGCTGGGCCACAGTTGGGGTTCTGGCTGACACCCCGGTTCTGCGTTTCAGGGCCACGGTCTTGGAGAAGTATAAAATCTACTGGGTGAGGATTCCTAGTCCTGTCATTTCACAGCCAAAGGCCCCGCCCTTTTCAACACCTGGGACCACACCAGCGCCTTCGCCAGCCTCGCCTGCAGTCTCCCGTCTCACCAAACCAGTGAGTCGCCTCCTGTGGGTCCCCAAACGCCGTCTAGGGGAGCACCTCCTTGGGAGCTGGGGTTCCGTGCTCGGGGCCCTGTGAGGAGAAGCAGCCGCCCTGAGCGGTGGTGGCAGCAGGTGGGTCTCAGGAGGAGGGAGGTCCTCCTCCAGCATTAGGGCTGCAGGTTAGAGGGGGGAGCGCAGCCCTGCACCTCCCAGTGCGGCCACCACACTGACACAGTCCCTACCAGCGGGATGCGGTTCCTCTGAGACCTGGGGAAGCAGCAGCAGAGAACTCCCTCCCTCCCTCCCTCCTTCCTTCCATTCTCTTCCTCCCTCCCTCCCTCCCTCCCTCCCGCTTCCATTCTCTTCCTCCCTCCCTCCCTCCCTCCCTCCCTCCCTCCCTCCCTCCCTCCCGCTTCCATTCTCTTCCTCCCTCCCTCCCTCCCTCCCTCCCTCCCGCTTCCATTCTCTTCCTCCCTCCCTCCCTCCCTCCCTCCCTCCCTCCCTCCCTCCCTCCTGCTTCCATTCTCTTCCTCCCTCCCTCCCTCCCTCCCTCCCTCCCTCCCTCCCTCCTCTCTCTTTCCACCACCAAATATGAAACATGGAGTGGGAGCTTAAAGCTTAAGCTCTATTCAGACAAGATTTGGAATGTGGAGCACAATCTTGAAGTAGTGGTAGAGCTTTTATATATATATATATATCCACACACACATATATTTAAATATATATTTATTGATTTCAGAGAGGAGAGAGAGAGAGAGAGAGAGAGAGAGAGAGAGAGAGAGGGAGAGAGAGAGAGAGAGAAACATTAATGAGAGAGAATCATGGATCGGCTGCCTCTACTGGGGATGAACCTGCAACCAGGCCTGTGCCCTGACCAGGAATCGCACCAGTGACCTCTCTGTGCACAGGACGATGCTCAACCGACTGAGCCACACAGGCCAGGGCTCTTATATTATTTTAATATCAAATTTGAACCAAATGCTAGAGGCAGAGTCCAGGGTCTAAATACACAATTTTGCAAAGGTTTTGCCTGTTTGATTTTTAAATTGCACCTCTGGAAACTGGAGGATACCCTGCAGGCAAGACTGTCCCTGTGGACTTAAACACTCCCTGAGGAGTTTCTAGAATTTCCCCGAGCCTTCCCTGGGGAACATAATTAACATGAACTATTTGGGTATTAAAGGGACTTTAATACTCGAGCACAATTACAGTCCAACTACTGTGCCTTCCAAATGTTAATGAAAAGAAATTACGCTGAAAAGTTCATGACCTTGAAAACGACTGCCCGGGTCATTTCTAATTTGGGGCCTGTCTCCTGCCCCCTTATTTGGGTCCTGTTGTGAAAAGGGGGTCCGTTAGGACCTGTGCCCTGGGAGGGGCCCTTCTGTCTTTGGGGATGAACGGCTGGTTTGATCACGAAGCCCCGCCCCCTCATTTTCCCAGTTCAGTGCCTCGGGCTGTGGGAGCAAGAAGTTCTGTGTGCGGAGCCCCTGGGCCTGCGACCCAGCGAAGGAGGCCACCTGCCTCTTCCTGTCCTTCACGCGGGACAACCAGTCGGTGACGGTAGAGATGAGCGGCCCCAGCAAAGGCTACCTGTCCTTCGCGCTTTCCCACGACCGGTGGATGGTGGGTACCTCTCACTAATCCGTGGGGTGACATTAGTCCCCGAGGGTCAGCTGTTTGTTCCGGGTCAGATGATGGCGCTTGAGGGAGGGGTGGGGAGGGAGGCGGGTGCTGAGGCTGAATGAGCCTGTGTGCTGTGGTTTGTCGATTCCTGGTGTCATTCACGGCGACTCCAAATTTCTTACCTTGAGCTGGGCTAATTCCGAGTTGAGTGTAAGATTAACGGGTTGTTCTTGGGTCTTGTTTAAGGAGCTTATCGACCAAGGCCCATAAAACACCTTGCTGGGTAGTTGAGGGGGAGCGACTTAGAATAGGCGAAAGAACCAAATCTACGCACAGTAACGTAAAATCCAGAAGATTCGCTTGTACCTTGGAATGATGCCAGGTGCTTTGAAGGGGCAACCTGCCCTTTGGTAGTAATTGAAATGAGATCTGAGTTTAGAGAACATTCGAGATGAAAGGACACATGGGAATCAGACCGGCAAAGAACGCCTCCCTGAGCTCAGACACTGTGGCCTCCATACGTAATGCTTACCCTATTGGGTGTTGAATGTGTACAATATTAGCAATATTTGATTACAGTGCCTTCCATCTTGAAGGCTACCCCCCAAAACTGATATAATATAGCGCATTTACAGTCATGAAAATGTTTAAGGCATAGATATAGATCTATACAAATAAGTATCCAGAATAATGTTCATGATAAATTAAAACAGGTAACAAAACTGTGTATTTTTCTATTTGGAGAGAGAGAAAGATATAGGTATAAATATAAATAGATTTGGATGAATATATATGAAAGCATTAACCGTGGTGTTCAATTGGGGATGGGTTTATGGGCATATAAACATGTCAAGTCTATTTTAGCCTATTTTTTTTTTTTTATAATGAAATTGTATTGCTTTCCTATTATAACAAAATCCTATTGATTCATAAATCGGACAGCCATAGTATCAAGGCTGCCAGTAAATTATTTAAGAATACCAAATACTATTTGATTTTTATTAAGGACTTAAAAGCACAGCGTTGAACTTCCTTTAGACTCTTCTCCTTTCCCATCATTCTCCAGGGCGACGATGACGCTTACCTGTGTATTCACGAGGACCAGACCGTGAGCATCCGACCTGCCCATCTGACGGGGCGGAGCCACCCTGCCCTGGACTCCTGGGTAGGTGTCAAAGTTCTGGGAGCCTCTACCTGGCCCGCCCACCCTCTGGCCACGCGGCTCACAGCGGCACGTCTGTGTGGCAAAGTGGCCTTGAACCCGCAGTTAGTCGGGCCTGAGCAGGGGCCTCACCAAAGGGTTCCCCTCTCATAACACTCTGGGAAAGCTTTTCTGCACTTTGCCTTATTTATTATTTTTTTTTTTACTAGATATACATATATATTGAATAAAGTTTATGTGTATTTAAGGTGTGCAACATGATGTGTTTTAAAAAAATGTTTTGATTGATTTTTTTTGAGAGAGAGAGGAAGGGAGAGGGAGCGAGGGATAGAAACATCAATGATGAGAGAGAATCATCGATTGGCTGTCTCCTGCGCGCCCCACACTGGGGATCGAGCCTGCAACCCCAGGCATGTGCCCCCGACCGAGAATCAAACCGTGACCTCCTGGTTCCTAGGCCGACGCTCAGCCACTGAGCCACGCCGGGCGGGCGCGATGCTTTGATATCCATACACACAGTGAAATGCTGTGCCAAACCGGCTAGGGCTACTTGCTATTGTTTGTTCAATGTTTTTGATTGTTAGTGGCCAGATGGAGTTTTTATGCCTGCCAAGGGTTCTCTCCTGGGGAGAGGAATTTGGGGGTTTGACTCAAAGTAAAAATAATACTTGTGCCAAGTGAGATCAAGACAGACTGGGAGGTAGTGTTTGTTGTACTTTTTGAAGGGGACGTGGAGGAGCAAGGCCAGCGCAGACCAGACGCGCACAGAGGGTCTCCGAGAAAGGAGCTTGGACGGGCAGGACTGCGATCACATCGGGTTTTAGCAAATCTTGGGGAAGCGCTGACGAGACCCACTGTGCGCTTGTAGGACGCCCTCGAGGATATGGCCTGGAGGCTGGAGGATGGCGGGATGCAATGTTCTTTCAGAAGAAACATCACCCTTCCTGGCGTTGAGAATAGATTTGACCTAAACACAAGCTACTACATATTTCTAGCAACTGGTGCAGCCAAGGATGGTAAGTACTATGTGTTGATAAAAACGACCTTTTCAAGATTTGTTTTCTTCTCTCTCTTCTCCCCTCCCCCCATTTAAAAAATATTTACACTTGCGGGTAAAGAGTTACCAAAACCCTCTTCCATCTTGCCTTCCCTTTTGACCTTGGTTGGCCTTTAAGTTTCGTTTCCCTAGAAACTAGGCAAAGGTAGGGTCAACTACGCTGTAAGGCCACATGCTCACGATGGAAGTGAATTTCTGGCTGGTAAGCAGCATTTGGGCCAGGTATAAGAAGCCGGAAGAGCGAGGAAAGTCATTTTATAAATATCTAGGGGGACCATTGCTCTTCTGCTTTTTATTGTTGATGTTTGGTTTTGTTGCATTTTGGATAGATGACATACCTGGTTTCCTATAAAGTTACATCTTTTTGGAAATTATTGCCTTGTAGTCCGTGGTCTAATATGTATTTTTGTTTGGGCCAAAGATATATCATATATATATATATATATTTTCAAATTTCTTGATTATTTTTATTCTTTTTGATACACATTGTATTCTAAAAATAATCTATGCTCCATGATTTATTTACTGATTCTTCTGGTGATGACCATTCAGCTTGTTTAAATTTTTTTGGCTAGCATAAAACAAATTTCTGTGAACATTCTTGTACATATACCTTTGGGTAAAGGGTATTTCTGTAGGGTAGATTCTCAGAATGTAGGAATTCACACACACCCATACTCACGAATACAAACTAACAGGAATAACTCTACATCCACAGGCTTAAAGTTATACATAATGAACAATAATATGATAACCCATTCTCAAACTGTGCACATCACTTTTCTTTGGGACTTTGGTTTGTTAGTCAAACCCAGTCCCAATCGATCAATGCCACAAAATGGAGCATTGAAATGTGCTTGTCTTTCTCTCAGGCCCAGCTTCTGTCGGTTTAATCCAGAATTCTAGATTATTTTTCACATGTATTCTCTTTCAAGAATTATCCTTTCCATTTTCAATCATTTGTGGTCACATTAATGGTAATTATTTGGATGAAACATTGTTTGTGGGCGTCTCACTGTAACTCCCACCTTCCCAGCCTCATGTCTTGATTGGCTAAATTATTTCTTTAGTTTTTTCCCCCAATAAGGTCATGTGACCCTGCATCTGGGTTTAGGTTGCTTTTGCATATGAATGGCATCTCTGTTGATATTTATTTTCTATTATTTTGAGAAGTTTTGTTTCCAGGGTCCTGACACAGTCTTTTTATTCCTTCTCTTCTGAGGAAGTAATTCTTCTTCATCTCTTTTTTCCTGCTTTTTTATAATTTCAGGTCGAATTTATAGACACTCCCAGCAGCCTCTGATTACATATGAAAAACATGAGGTGACAGGTGATCCGCAGGACGTGGGAGCGTCTCGGGCCCCGCCCCTGCTGAGGGCTCACGGTGAGCTGCTCCCTGTGTGTGTGCTGCATCCTCACTCCGCCCATAACCTTCCCGGTGGCTCGGTGCTGGCTGGGGTAGGAGTCGTGGCGAACAGAAGTTAGCAACTGTTTAGAAATCTCTGTGTGACCATTCACATTGCAGTTAGCAGTATTTACCTTTCTGTAAAAAATATTTAAAAAATATTTTTATTTTTTAATATGTTTTTATTGATTTTAGGGAGAGAAAAAGGGAGAGAGGGAGAGACATAGAAACATCAATGAGAGAGAAACATCGATGAGCTGCCTCCTGCACGCCCCCCACCGGGGATCGAGCCTGCAACCCAGGCTTGTGCCCTGACTGGGAACTGAACCAGCAACCTTTTGGTGTGTGGGACGATGCTCCAATCCACTGAGCCACCCGGCCGGGCCACCTATTGGTTTTTCACTGGTTTTTGGAGTGAGAGGTGAGACGGTTCCAAGGTGACTCAGGCTCTAGTAGCACAATGGTTAAGGGTACGGCTGCTCAAGCCAGGATGGACTCGACTTACATGGCGTCTCTGCCTTGGTTTCCCCATCCGGCAAAACTGGAATAATAATAATTGTAATCACTTCATCGGATTGTGGTAAAGATCCATTAGGTTAGTTCACGGGGAGCACTTAGAGACTGTGCCTTGCACATAGTAGGGCTATGGAAGTGTTAGCTGTTAGAAGCAGTCGTGGTGAGAGTGAAAGCTGTGATACCCGGGTGTTTTGAGGGTATGCCATGGCAGTTGAATGTACTTTGCTGGTGGTTTCTGTTTTCCGAGCACGTAGCGTGGTCGCTGCAGGATAGTGGGGTGAGTTGGTGATGTCACCATCGCATCTTCCCTGCAGGGGCCTTGATGCTCATGAGCTGGATGACGGCCGTCAGCGTGGGTGTCATCGTTGCCCGGTTCTTCAAGCCCGTTCTGTCCAGGCCTCTCTTCGGCGAATCCGCTTGGTTCCAGGTAGGCGGGAGGAGAAGGTTCATGGGGTTTCGTACTAGCTGTACGTTGCAGCAAGCAAACACATGAACTATGTGGGTTCCTTTCCCTTGGTGTGTGTGTGGCATAGTTTTGTGATTTCGGGATCCTAGTAATTTCTTCTTCTTGCCCTTTGGTTTCCTAACCAGTTGAGAACAGACACAAGGTCCTTGATAGAGGTCACAACAGAGGCGACTTTAGGCAGGGCTCGGGCGGGGTTGGAGGACGTGCCAGGGCCGCGTGCCTCCCTGTGTGACGTAGACTTTGGGACCCGCAGGACCCTGACCTGCATGTCCAGCTGCACCGAGCACAGACGGGCCAGGAAGGCAGAGGGCAGGGAGGGAAATCGCGAGGGCTTCCTGTGTGTCCACAGGGGGTCTGTCCTCCGGGTGCTGCAACAATCCGCGTCAGACTCCCCGGTCAAGGTCACCTGTCTCCTCTGGGGGGGGGGGATGGGAACTAGAAGCGTTTCTTTTCATGTTGCCCCCTTTGGGATCAAGAGGCGAGAGTCAGTTGGTACCCCTCAAAACAAAGCAGAACACACCTTATCTTTTGTGTGTCACATGTCAGGTGTCAATCAAAAGCATTCCTTTGAGGAATCTCATCCCATGATCTTGTCCCCATGGTAACACCAAGTCCTTTCTTGGGCTCAGGTAACTTCTTCTCACTGTCATTTCACCCTTGCAGGTGCATCGGGCGCTCATGCTAATTACTTCCTTCCTCACCTGCATTGCTTTCGTCCTGCCTTTCATTTACCGAGGAGGCTGGAGTAGCGTAAGTACCTCTTACACTGGGTGTTTTCCTTTAAATTCACTTGAGCGTCAAAGGAGATTGATGTTTTATTCTCAGTTGATGGGCAAACAGATATTTCTGTGCGTGGGTGACGCCACAGCCACGTCCTTGGACACGTTACTGGTGTCTCTGACCCTCAGTTCCCCCGTTTTTAAAAGTGGGTTATTCATAACCAAGTGTGGAGCATGAGTGTGTGCAGTGTGTGCCTGGTGTGAAGGACATCATCATACCATCACCATCATCACCACCACCATCATCACCACCACCACCACCACCGTCATCATCACCACCATCATCATCACCACCACTACCATTATCACACCATCACCATCATCACCACCATCATCATCACCATCATCACCACCATCATCATCACCACCACTACCATTATCACACCATCACCATCACCATCACCATCATCATCATCATCATCACCACCATCATCATCACCACCACTACCATTATCACACCATCACCATCACTATCATCATCACCACCATCACCACCACCATCACTATCATCATAATCAACATCACTGTCACCATCATCACCACCACCACCACCATCACCTCCATCGCTGTCATCATTACCATCATCACTGTCATCATCAGCATCACTGTGTCATCACCATCCTCCAATGTTTAAAGCTACAGGCAAGCATGAAGAATGCATAGATGTGTATTATTTGTAACTTGTGGGTGTGAACCGAGGGCGGGAGCGAGAGCATTAACGTGGGGTCCCTCTCTCAGCGTGCAGGTTACCACCCCTACCTCGGCTGCGTGGTGCTGGTCCTGGCGGTTCTGCAGCCCCTGCTGGCAGCCATGAGGCCACCTCTACACGACCCCAGGTACTCGCAGCCTTGCTACACGGCGCTCCTCACGTGCCGGGCATTCGTCGGCACACGAATCTCTTTTCAAGCAGAAGCACTTTGCATTTTGTGAAATTCAGTGATAAATTCTATTTACTTAAAAGCTTTAAAGTGGATTTCAGATGTCTCATTCCTAGGCAGTCGGGGGGTCTCTGGGGAATTCACGGTGGTTCCGTCCCTTTTAAGGATCCTTTTGCTTCTTTATTGTGGCAGGAGGCACCTGTTTAACTGGACGCATTGGGGGATGGGAACAGCTGCTAGAATCGTGGCCGGTAAGTGGCTGTGATGCCCACATTCACACATGATTGCCGGTCGCCCATGATGCAAGTTGTAATTGGGCGTAAAGCCTTTTTGGGTGCATTAGTGATCGGAGTGGTTGGTTGTTGAGGAGAAATCAGCCTTCAACATTGAAATCCAGAAAGTAATTTCTCGAGATAGCTATTTAAGTCATTATTTCAGTTTTAAGCTTAGGGTTTTTAAAATGACATTAAAACTTTCCTTGTAAGACTTTTTTTTTTAGCTTTTGCCTTTGCAAACAGAATAAAGGATGCTGGCCGCCAACTGTTTGAGGAGCTCAAGTGGAGGGTCATTTGTGGGCTGGGCTGAGCTGGGCTTTGAGGGGGATTTGGAGGGGGCGTCCCAGGCCTCTGTCCCCAGGCCCCTCCTCGGGGATGGTGCCTCTCCCAGAAGGCGGTTTGCAGAGTCGGGTCTGACTTTCCCGTGTTTTGCTGCCTTGGTAACAAGTCTCTAAACTGGCGCCGCTTCCCCCCCGTTTCCGTGTCCCGTGGGGCTCCTGGTGGAAAGGGGAGCGCAGTCGCCACTGGTTTCCGTACCGGTCTCCCTTCCACCCGCAGCCTTGAAACCTGCAAAGTGCAGCCGCCTCTTTTTTAGAGCATCGCTACAGTCTCTCCTCTGACCCTCCCAGTCTAGTCCTAAGACGAGGAAACACGGAGTAACCGTTGGGCCTGAAATAGTGATTTCATTCACTCAGCTCTTTGGACACGTGTCCTCTGCTACAACCCGCGTGCGTGCAGACACACAGAGACCTTCTTGGTGGCGACTGCATGGAAATACACATGTGGCTCTGTTTCCCTCTGCACGCAGTGGCGGCGATGTTCCTGGGGATGGATTTGCCGGGACTGGCCCTTCCCGGCCCGTGGAAGACCTACGTGATGCTGGGGTTTGTCGCCTGGCACGTGGGGGCAGAGATCGTGCTGGAGGTCCACGCGTACCGCCTCTCGCGCAAAGGTACTGCCCGGGATCGTTGTCCCGTGAGCCGGTGGGGAGCGGTCGGGTTCCCGATACTAAGGGGGGCTGCTCCCGGGAGCGCCTTGAACACTCCTGCCCGATCACTCCGGGCTAGAAACTGTGGGAATTTCCTGCCTTTCTCTTTCGTGTTTGTCAGGATGATAAATTGTGGGTAAAACAGAAGGGCCGACTGCAGGCTTCAGGGAGGATGTCTTCGTAAGGACGTGTGCTGCGCGGGTCTGGCTGGGAGGCAGTGGACACAGGGAGCCCCGCATGCCTGGGGGGGACCCCGAGCCGGAGGAAGCAGGGATGCCCAGAGTCAGCCCAGGGCAGGGCTGCAGACAGCTGTTCCCTTCTGATAGTTTACGGGGCGCTACCTCTGCTGGCCTTGCACGTCGGACACAGCCGGCTCATGAGTGAGCCATGAGGGAGGGGCTGACTCTGCCCAGCTGTCTGTCCCAGGCAGGGCACTGCCCTGGAGCCCGAGGGTGGAGAGATGTCCAACCAGCGTGGAGTCTGGGCTGTGTCCTTGGTGTCCTGTCTAGTATTCTGCGCCCCTCCTCCACCCCCCCAGTGATAAATCAAGTGGCCCTCTCCGAGCACAGCCTCTTTGTTGTCTAATGTAGTATGTTGTGACGTTAGGAGTCGGTGGCTTTTGGGAGCTGAATACTCCTGCGTACTTGGCTTCTGATAGGAATACATATACAGCTGGGCTTCTGCTGACCACGGAGCTGGGGCTTGTTGTTTAAAAGACACATGTACTGCCCAGCTGGCGTGGCTCAGTGGTTGCGCATTGACCTATGAACCAGGAGGTCATGGTTCCATTCCCAGGCAGGGCACATGCCCGGGTTGTGGGCTCGATCCTCAGTGGGGGGCGTGCAGGAGGCAGCTGATCAATGATTGTCTCTCATCATTGATGTTTCTGTCTCTCTCTCCCTCTCCCTTCCTCTCTGAAATCAATAAAAAATATAAAAAAGAAAAGAAAAAAAATGTACTTCACACTTGTATTGTTAGGGGTTTGATCTGGTTGGAATTGCCTAGAAAAGAGCATGTTTAAGTGCCCGTCCGGAGTGTGAGAGCCTTACTATTGGGGACGTTTGGAATGTCCCGGGAGCTGGAAATGGGAGAACAGACTCAGCAAACCCTACCCATGAGCCTCGCTGCGCAAGTGTTCGCCTGCACACCCACGGGCCTTACCGACACATGTTTTTGCTCTTGGCAGTTGAAATACTGGATGACACTAGAATTCAGATTATGCAGACCTTTACCATGGCTGAGGCAGAAGTAAGTCCTTCTTGTTTATAGTTTTACTAGAGGCTTGGTACATGAAATTTGTGCACTTGGGGGGGGGGCCCTCAGCCCAGATTGCGAGAGGGTGCAGGCTGGGCCAAGGGACCCCATGGGTGCACAATCGGGGTCAGGGGGGGGCATGGGAGGTTGGCCAGTGGGGGATGGACTATTGGAGGGCTCCAGGGCGTGTCCAGCCCATCTCGCTCAGTCCTGATTGGCTGCACCCCAGCAGCAAGCTAACCTACTGGTCGGAGCGTCTGCCCCCTGGTGGCCAGTGCACATCATAGCGACTGGTCGAGTGGCCTTAGCATGTCATTAGCATATTACACTTTGATTGGTTGAATGGATGACTGGAAACTTAGCATATTAGGCTTTTATGATATGGGATTGACAAAAGCCTTCATGATCAGAGATCCATCCTCTCACCTGTGCGTTTTCCTTTCAGGGCCACGGCTTTAAGAAGGCGGTGCTAGCCGTGTATATCTGTGGGAACGTGACTTTTCTCGTCATATTCTTGTCTGCCGTCAGCCGTCTCTGAGCCCGCCGCGGCCTTGCTGTGCCGGCCAGGTGACGGTCTCATCGAGCCGGGGAACGCGAGGCCCATGCCGCCTGCCGGGTGTGGGCAGGAAATCCGAGTTGGAGACCAGGCCATGCCCACGCGGGGTTCTGGCGGCTGGCCCTTAGGGTCCTGTGGACTGTGACGCGCCGTCCAGCCTTTAGGTGCAGGTCCGAGTCTTAAAGGGAAGGTCGAGGAGAAGTGACCCTCGAATATTTCTCTTTTCTGTACCTTTTTATTGAATGTATCGGGGTGACACTGGTTCATGAAAGGATACAGGTTTCAGGTGAACAACTCCACACACATCATCTGTACGCTGTCTGGTGTGTTCACCACCCCAAGTCAGGTCTCCTTCCATCACCATTGATCCCCCGTCTCCCCTCCCCCACCTCCTCCTAGCCCCCTCCCAGTATTTCTATGCTGAGATTTTAAGAATGTTAGCATTTAGGAATGTAAACAAGAACTATTTGGAAAATAAAGGATGACCTTAGGATGGAAAGGCGAGGAGAGGAACTATATTGGGGCTCTGGAAGTACTGTGGGCCTTTTAAGACAACATCCACAGGGTGTCCCCCAAAATGAGTACACACTTTAACAGCTGATAGCTCAATTTTAAAAATAGGATGTATTTTAATAAACACTGCCTTTATAATTATTCAAAGCGTGTATACATTTTTGGGGGGACACCCTGTATTTTTACTAGTTTATCTCAATGGTCTTTTTTCCTAGGGCTTTTTGGGAAACTGTATTTTTCAGTCCTGTTTTGGGGACTCATTCCTTGCTCTGTGTATCTTGTTTCTTTGGTAAAGGTGGAAATGGGGCTGACCCCATGGTAGGTTTTGTTAACATTGAAACATATTACGGATATTATGTCTTCCCTAGCTGTGAAATGTGAGTGTGCATCTTCTGCTTAAAAACTGCCTTTATATATTCAGCAACAGAGCTGATGGCCTTTTATATGCTCGGTGTTTTGACAATCAGATTTGAATCCGACAGCCTTTGGAGATTGTAGACTCGAATTTCAAAACTAATAAAGCTCACCCTTGTGGACACATCTAAGTTCCTCTCTTGCCGTGTGGGGTTCTGCTCTGCTGGGAACTCCTGGTGCTCTAATGAGCTGGAATAATCAGTTATCTTCCTTCCTGCTGCAATCATTTTCCTATTTGGGGGCTGCCTTTTATACCTGCCATGAGGACTCCTAGCCAGTGGGGGGCGCCATATACCAGCTGTACCAAAGTACAGCTTGGTTCCTGCCTCCTTGGGCCAAGATTCCTTTTCAGAACTTAGATAACATCATGGACGTATTTTCCTTAAAATCCACTGACTTGATCTTCATTTGAAAAAAAATCCTGCCTTTTTTTGGGGGCGGGGGGGGGGGGGGGGTCGGTATTTTGCGTCAGAAACTGAAATTAAGTCCATTGTTTCATTTGATTTTTCTTCCCTGTGATTATTTGTAACAACAGTTTGATATTTCCCTTTACAGTCCTCTGACCCTGTGGCCGATGAACACAGCGATCCTCGGCACAGGACACAAGCACAGTGGACACTCTGAAAATAATAAGAGTGCAGGGCGCACAGTTCACTTCTGTAGCTGCTCTGATTACGTTACCGTTTCTGGTTGGCCCGAGGCCCTGACTTCTATCGGGTGTAAGGCAGCCTCGGCCATGTCTCCGGCGCCTCTCACTGGGTGAAGTGATGGGGAGGTTTGTTTTTCTTCCTTTTAGTGGAGTTTCTCACAAGCAGCGTAGGGGTGAGATGTGACTTTTCCGTAAGTGCCCGGCTACTCGCAGCCCAACCCTTCCTTTTGCATGTATGTTTAGAAATAAGTTTTTTAAGCCTAGAAAATGAAATGTATGCTAACCTGGTTTTCACCGGTTTTCACCTCTGAGGGGCTTAAAGGCTAGTGCCTTTCTCGCGGTCAGTTCTGTTCTGCATGTGACAGGGAAGGAGCCTCTGAAGGGGAAGGGGGACCTCGGTGTGTTTGGTTTTCAGTACGTGAACTTGCTGATGTGCATGGTCGGTTTTTCTTCTTCCCGGATTCATCTGTGGGTGCTCTTTGGATATAGCATTGATCGATTGAGAGTTGCCCAGTGAAGGTTTTGTCATTTAATCTTAATTGATGAAACTTTTTTAGCAATACCAAGTCAGGATGCTTCTGCTAGGAATGGTAAGAAGGAACTCTTACAACAGCAACAGCATGGAGGCACCTGGAGGGTGTGATGCAGAGCGAAATGAGCCAGTCAGAGAGAGGCAAGTGTCACATGATCCCACCCATATGTGGAATCTAATGAACAAAATACACTGATGAACAAAATGGATCCAGAACCATGAACAGATGGATGCATTTCAGAGGGAAGGCGGGGGTGCGGTAGTTGGGGAGAGTTTAACCGTGGAACTTGTATGCATAACAGCAAACAAAGTGGACATCTGTCATACTTTCAACAATAAAGATAAATTTAAAAAAAAATAAAAGAAAATGCCTACCGTCACTTTTCTCAATCTTTCTCTCCATTTTTATAATAAACGATCAGGGTGTCTTTTTAAAAACACACACACACATTTCTTTCGATAGCAGTGATTGCTAAACAACATGTCTTTCTGTCTTTAGCGATGTTGTCCGGGAGTGAGCAGAATCACAGGTGCTTGTTTATCTTAAAGATGGGCTCCTCTATACAATACAAATAAGTATGTTTTTTGGGGAAAAAAATGAAACTAATTCTAGAGGACTGTGGCTGGGGAGCATTGATTGCCGAGCCTGTTCTGTGTTTATGATTTTCTGGTCTGTGGTCATCAGTCTTAAGGGCGCAGGGAGCTTGCGGCAAAGTTTGTGAATAAATGCATGACTTCACTTCAGTCCCGGCATGGTTTCCATCAGGGTTTGGGCTCTAACGCGTGGCCAGTGAGCTTCGTCCTTCCACGTCCCGCCCGCCCCGCCCAGGGCGCAGTGCGGCACCTGCCGCCGGAAAGTTCTGGGGCACGTGCAGCTCTTGGCTGGAATTCTGTGGATCTGTTACTCTGGTGGAGCAGGAAGAGAGGACCAGGTCCCCGTGTGAGATAACCCAGGAGAGAGGGAAAGGAAGGACGCTTCCTCTCAGCTCTTGTCACAGCTGATGAGGGCCCACGCCGTCCCTGTCCGCGTCCGCTTCTTTCCGCCTGGCCCAGCCCCCACGGCTCACCCCTGGGCCCAGGTCACCGCTGGCCACCTGCCTGGGATGCCCTTTCGGTTCCTCTCGCTCTGGCAAAAGCCAGCTTGTCAGGTTCTGGCTCAGAACTACCCTCCTCTTAGAGCCCTTCCAAGCACGTGAGTTTGCCCACCGCTCGGGCGGGGCTGGCTCCCTCCCGGTTCCGACCATCTGCAGGCTTAGAAGCTGCAGGTCTGTGAGCAGGTCACTGACCTTCCCTGGGGCCCATTCCTTTTTTTTCTTTTCTTCCTAAATATATGTTTTTACTGATTTCAGAGAGGAAGGGAGAGGGGGAGAGGGATAGAAACATCAGTGATAAGAGAGCATTATTGATCGTCTGCCTCCCTGTGGGGCGGAGGGAATGGGAGTCATTGCATGATGCACAGACGATTTTTAGTTTGGGGTGATGAACGTATTCTGGAGATTGAGGTGGCAGTTGCACAACACTGCAAATGTAAGAAATGCTACTGAATAGTTCACTTTAAATTGTTATTTTTTGACCTGGTCGGCATGGCTCAGGGGTTGAGCGTTGACCTATGAACCAGGACGTCACGGTTCGATTCCAGGTCAGGGCACATGCCCAGGTTGCAGGCTCAATCCCCAGTCTCTCCCTCTCCCTTCCTCTCTGCAATCAATAAAAGTATATTTTAAAAATTATTTTTATGTGAATTTCACTTCAATAAAACAAATACAGTCTCACTGGATAGAATTAATACCAGAATGGAGACAGCAGAGAAAAAGGAGCCAGTGGATTTGAAGATAGATCGATCAATAGAAACGATCTCTTTGAAGAGAAGAACGAAAAACTTTTGGAGAACAGTTGAACCCCAGGGACCTGTTGAATGACAACCTGCGTGGTATTCTCTCAGAAGGAGAGGAGGCTCTGGATCTAACGACTAGGAAATCCCCAAATTTGATAACTTTACTGACTCCCGACGCAGGGGGACATGTCGCGCAGGAAAACCTGAAGGCAGGCTTATGCAGTCATAGCGGAACCCTTGAAAGCAAAAATGACAGAGCACATCCTGGAAGGAGATAGAGAAAAAGGAAAGATTGCATTCCAACCTCCGACTTCTCCCAGGAGGGTCAGGGTTAGGGCTAAGGTTAGGGAAGAGGGGGAAGGAATGGGACCCAGGGTTGGGGTGTTTGCATAAAAGTGTCTCTGAAATTCGAATCCCCAGATTTTCTAGAACATTCCAGACAGCAGAGGAGCTCTTTCCTCCTCGAGACCAGCTGGCTTTTACAAAGAACTCATCTGAGGCCGATGCCTCTCAGGGTGATGCTGGTCCGTGGGGTCTGCTGCTGCTACTTCCCAGCTACTGAGGTTGGGTCTCATCGTCTCAGCAGGGAAACTCACCGGAAGACTCACAGGACCTGGGAGCCAGGCGTGGGCGTGATCAGGGGAGGATGCGTGTGCGTGGGTGTGAGGGTGTTGGGTGGAGTAGGAGAGAACTGGCATCAGACTATTCTTCAAATTAGGAGTCATGCCCCAGCAAGAATCCTTAGGGATGCATGCTGCACGCATTCTCATTGTATGTTGATAGCAGGATTCTGTCTTGTTCACCACCATCGGCCAAGCCTGAGACCAGATTTGTGTCCTCTGAGAATAGGGGAAGCCCTCCATCGACCAGCCTTGGGTCGTACCCAGTCATTGAACCAGGGGGCTCACACTGAATTGAATGACAGAAAGGGTGATGTTTCAAGAAGAATAAACATGTCAGTTACCATCTGTAAAGTCACGCACACTGGCAAGATAATCCCAGTCCCGTCCCCAAATGTGAGGGTAACCATCGCACACACCTGTTGGACGTGTGCCAAGGGCTGAAGTCTCTCCCCAGCGGAGGATGTGGTTGTCTTACAGCCTCGGTGGGTTGGGAAGGCCCGGTCACGTGTCAGACTTAAAGATGGATGTTTCTGTGACAAGGGACAGTGGCTCCCGATGATCTTTCATTTGTATTCGCAAAATTACAATATCAGTGAATCGAATAGAGTCAGGCTATTTTAAATAACTTTATTCTTAAATTTAATTAGCTCTTATTAGAAATGCTTTGGTATCAAGACAATAAAAATATTCTGGTTTTCACCCCCACTGAATCATGTCAAGTAACTGGAAAAGCTGAGTGTTCGTTCTCCCAGCTTTTTTGCAATATATATATATATATTTTTACAAATAATGGCTACTGCTTACTCACATGGCTTAATATGGATATAATCGTAATTTTTTTTTTTTTGGATCGAAAAGAAAAAGAAAGAAACACAGTATCCAGGAGAGAAAGCGGCAAACATTTCGTAGTTTCTTCTCCGGAGTATGTTTATGTAGATGGTACACCTCTCAGATAACCTTTTTCCCCAGCTTTGCCATTCTTATCCTTAAAGCTGCAAATTAAAGAAGAAAAAGAGTTATAAACAGAAATCTTAATTTTTACTCGAAATGACCATTTCATAGAATGCAGGAAAGTTTGAAACATACCTCAGATGATTTTGTCCAACAATGTGAGCATTGTTTTAGTAGCACAAAAAGATAGTAGAAATAATAAGCTATGATTAACTCAGGGTAGAAGCAGGGTCAGACTAGAAGGAGCCTGTTACTATAAAGATTAGAAAAATCAGCACAGCAAGCAAGGCAAAGGTGGAGTCAATGTAGGGTTAGCGCACAGCCTCACTGTTGGCTATCGATAAATTCCATCGAGGTCAATGACTGCGTTTTGTGCATATTCCTGAGCTAAGCACAACTAAAAAAAGGCATCGACTCAAAGTCTATTTCATGGTTACATTATCTTTTAATTCATCAAACTTGACTATACCGAGGGGCTCCATTCTTGCATAGAGAGTGACAAAAGCAAAATTTTTTATAATGAAAGCATGTGAACCAGTAATGAAAGTTGGAGTAATCATAACACGCCGAGTTAGAATCCATAAGACGCGTCTGATATTCTGGTACCACGCCCTCCAGAGTTAGGGCTCAGAGTTCAGCTGCTCCCCCACATTTTCCAAGAGTTGAGAAAGGCTTGCAAGGCACCGGTTATGACAGTCACGTGTGACAGAGCTAGTTAACTGATTGCAAAATGTTATTTAATGAAAAAAAAAATAGAAAAGGGAAGGCATGCTCTCTCGTTTCTCAGCCATCTGTGATTAGTTGTCATTAACAAATGACATGAATGACGACACCTCTAAGAAGCTCTTGTTCACACATAGGATCCAATACTGTAACAAAACCATGATCGTGTTTATTGTCACTTCACTCATGAAATGGTCGCATCTAAGTGAAACAAAAGAGTAGTATTTCCCCGGAAGCCTGAAGGGGAATGGTTATTTCTAGTGGACGGGGTCAAGAACAGTCCCTTGAATTTGGGATCAGACCAAGAGGGTGGTCTCTGTTGCTGGGAGAAGTTGGGAGGTGCCACCTGAGAACGCGTCCTCTCGCAGCAGGAGGGAGCTGGAGGCGGAACAAGCTTTGTCATTTCTCCTCGTGGCTTTGTGGCCCTCTCTCTTGCCCATCCCCAAAGGGGAGCAGGGCCAGGTCCACGGAGAGGGTTTTGTCCAACAATGTGAGCATTGTTTTAGTAGCACAAAAGGGTAGTAGGAATAACAAGCGACTGTTAACCTGGGGCAGAAGCAGACTCAGGACTAGAAGGAACCTTTTTCTGTAAAGGTTGGAAAAATGAGTAGAGCAAACACAGCGTACATGACATCCAGTGAAATTCTTAGAGGACGTGTAGCTGTGTGAGGGCTCAGGAGTGGGGTGATTCAGTCCCGTTTCTCACTCTCCTATTCCTTAATGGGGAAAAGAATTCTCGTTCGTTAGAGTGTGCTAATTCCTTTCTCTGCTCCTGTGGCAATAGGTAGCGTGAGTGTCAAGTAGGTAGATGTGTGGGGCCAGGGCGCGTGGGCAGTGGGAAGGCCCTGAGGTGCCCAGCTAATCAACCCGGGCTCTCAGCTCTCCTTTCTGCTCCTCTCTGCTCTCTGCCTCCCCTCCCCACAGCGATGCAGGCTCATGGCGTTGGCTGGTTGAACCTGGTGAGAGAGCTTGCCCCTCACTCTCAGGATCCCTTGGCTCCTAATGGTTGGCACAGGTTGGCCACATGGGCACCGGCAGCCTGTGAATCCCCCGGAGCTGAGGTTCCCCACCTCCTCATCCTGAAACGTCACTGACATATCTAAGGGGAGAACAGAGCCAGGAGAAGTCCAAGTCCAAGTTGGTGAGGATGCCAAAGAGAGCCAGCCGTCCAGCTGGTGGGGAGGTTGGTGACATCCGGTAGGGGCTTGCTGGGGCCCCTTGCTGGCGGGAGGTCTGGCACTGCGCTGTATCTTAGACCAGCGGTCGCCAGCCTTTCGGACCTCACCAATCACCCGTGGAGCGCGGGCCACCGGGTGGCGATCGCTGTCTTAGACCATGACCCTGTTATGCCGACATGTTCTTGTCGTGTCGTATGCTGCTCAAAGTTTTGACTGAAAAATATTGTCTCTAGGATCTCCCGCCTCCACCTTTTCCCATCTCTCTTCCTCCTCCAGGCTCTTTTCCACGTTCACAATCGCTGTTCGCTCAGGCTCTCATGACAACATTTACATGAAGAGAAGAAAAATTCCTAACTATGATGCCTTCCAGAAATATCGATATGTAGACGGGGACCTATTCCATAAGCAAAGGGGTTGACTGAAGTGAATTCTCAAACACCAACCATGGCATGGTAGGGGGGTGGGTGGCGAAGTTCAACCGACTCGGTGCTTGTGAAGCAGGGGCTGGGTATTCTATGCCCACAGAGGCTCCCTGAGGGCATGGGTGATGGGATGTGCTTATTGAAAAGACCCACTCACAGCAGAGCAGCTCTGCGAGCCACACGCCGAGTTAGAGAGCAGCGACACGCGGCCGCGTCCCGACGGGCGAGGGAGGGATTCGGTGCTCCTGTTTGTGAGATGCTCCGCCCGATGGCGCGGGCTTTGCATTGTTCCTCGGTCTGGAGGGTGCTTCCTGTTTTCCCGAGTTAGTTCAGTGCCAGGAGTGTCTGGAAGCATGACTCACTTCCTGGCTTTTCCTTGAGGTCAGGGCGTGGACACGGTAGGGGAGAGGGTCGGGGCGTTCAGGAGGCGTTAACGTCCGAACTAAAAAGTGGGAGGTTTCGGGGTGGGTCATGTCACAGCTCCCGGCCATACACAGCGTGCTCCCCGATCCCAAGTCTTTCGTGTGGTTTTAAAAATGAATTCAAGATGCAAAGTTTGCTCAGCAGACAAAGCCCATTCTTGAAAGGGAAAGGAATGTACTGATAGCAGGTCTCCATCGTGTGGGACACACCATGCAACGCTTGGTGCTTGTGGAATCGAGTTCAGGGTTTAGGAAGATAATGAAGGTGTCCAGTCGCCAGGAGATTAGAAATGCTTCAGATGAGTAAGTGTGCAGCTGATGAGCCTCATTGAACGAGGTCACAGATGGGAAGAGACCCATTTCACTGTGTTATTGGCAAACCAAGGCTGGGTTTATCGGGTGCAGAGGAAGAAGAACGGTCCAGGCACTAGCAAACTCCTGTAGAATGGTCAGGCTCTGCTTGCTAGACTAGTTGGGACTCAATAATTATTGCTTTTTTTTTTTTTTTTAATCCTCACCTGAGGTCATTTTTCCATAGATTTTTAGAGAGAGTGGAAGAGAGAGGGAGAGACAGAAACATCCATGTGAGAGAGACACATCGATTGGTTGCCTCCTGCATGTGCCCCGACCAGGGCCCAAGCTGGGGAGAAGCCTGCAGCCAAGGTATGTTCCCTTGACCAGAATCAAACCCGGTCCGCAGGCCACCACTCTATCTACTGAGCCAAACAGGCAGTGCGATAGTTATTGCTTTTTAGTGAGAATTCTTCTATTAGAGACATTTGAAATGACTGTCTCCTTTATATATGTCCCTTACAATATGCCTGGGTATGTGGTCTACATCTTTAGCAAGGCAAGTACAGCTTTCATCATTGATTTTGTCAGATTCTTGTTTAGTATTTGTAAATGGTGAGTAGAGAACCCTAGTCAAGTGCTACCAAGGAATCTAAACTTGAAGAGCTGTCGCTTTTGTAGAAAAAGAGTGTGGTTTTCCACTCGATGCTAAGAGAGACAGGCAGCCATAAAACTGTACAGGGAACGAGAAGTGCAAAGATATAGAAAATGGTGAAAATAAATGAGCTGAGTTAGGGAAGGCTATGCAAAATCAAATGTTGTAGATAATGTCCGCTAGATAAAGTGATATTCTATTTTAAAATATAGAAAAATTAAGGAAGTAAAGTTAATAAAACTATGAAAAGTAGAAAGAAGGTATAGCAAAGTGATAAAATATCACACTAAAAATAAAATTTGTTTTTGTTCTTTCTTGCAAAAATAAGGCCATTTGTTAGTGTATGCAGGAAGTTAAAATCACAGAGGCACACAAAAGTAGCTGGCATCGGCTTCTGGAGCGAAAAGATACGACATTAATGAGCTAACTTATTAGTGATCTAAATACCTTCACACACAGGACCACACACCCTACAGAAGGCGCATTTCAAGTTATCAATGTCAGCCAGTGCAATACCCAAATAAGGCGACGATTAAAAAAAAACCAACCCATTTCTTGTTATCTTTTGAATTGACTGACTCACGTTGGGTGACAGTGAAATCAGGGTTAATGATCAATCTTAGTGTGTGTTAGTCTGTGGGATGGTCCGAAAGGCGGAAAGCAAGAGGGTTTGTTAACGACCGAGGACCGGGCTGTCACATGACCACACAGCAGCGGCAAGCCCGGCCCCGCGTATTACCTGTGAGCGACGGGTCCTCCGTGCCGTCCCCGGCCGTCGGCGCGGCGTGTGGAGGCGGGCGGACGGGGCTGCCCAGGCGTTCCTCCTGCTCTCTCAGCGACATGGAGTGTCTGTGGGGAGAAGGGTGGCGTGCGTGGTCCGGGGGCTTGACCTCCGCTCTCTTCCTGGGGAGAGGTGTCGGCCTGGCCGGCTGGGGCGCCTGACCGTGCGCCCTGGGCTGGGGGGCAGGTTTCCCAGCTTCTCCCTCGCCCTCCTCCTCATCGATGACAACCAGCTCCGCGTGGATGACGCCGTCATAGCCCGTCAGGACCCCGCTCTCCTCCGCGTCGTCTTCTGCCTGCTGGTACCCCATGAAGATCATGGTCACGGGCTCCGCGCCGTCCATGTCAGAAGGCAGGGAGTGCATGATGTTGTAGCGCACGTCTTCCTCGGCCCCCTGCCACGTGGGAGAAGGGCCCTGGTGCTCAGACCTCCCAGCGAGCCCTCCTCTGGGGCCCGGCCCGGCCTTGGGGGAGGGCGCCTGCTGGCCCGGAGGCCCGTCTGTCCCATCGGCTCCTTCCCAAGCAGCCGGCAGCCTCTCTGCTGGTGGAATCACCCATCGGCGCGGGTGAGGGGTCGGCCGAGGGGGGCTGTCGGGATGCCAGCGGTCGCCCCTCTCCCCCGACAGCCCGTTGTCCACGTGGTGGACGGAGTGGTTCCTGTCGCCTCCCAGTCCGTTCGCTTGCCTCTGGCTCCTTTCCTGGAGGGGGGGCCCGGGGGCTGCTCTCTCCCTCTGCGGGGTGGCGGGCCTGCAGAAGGGGTTGGCGTACACGGGCTCGTGGTACTCGGTCGGGGACCGGGAGCTCCTCTCGGACGCCTGCCTCAGGAGGTCCTCCACCTCCACGGGCCCCAGGCTGTCTGTGCCGTTGAGCGCGGCCGGGTGGTCGGAGCTGACTTCGTACACCGACTTGCGCCCGTCGTCGTACACTTTCACCCCCTCGCCCGTGAAGTCCTCCGACGGCAGCGGGATGGAGGACAGGACCGTGCTCTCGCCCGTCTTCAGGTCTTTCTCCACCTTGATTTCCATGGCGTACAGCGCTGCAGAGACAAAGCCCATCTCCGATCAGTTCCCGCTTCCTCTCGTACACGAGCCTGCTTTCTCATGGCATACACACACGCACACGCACACACGCGCATACGCACACACACATACACACATGTCCGCGCACACACACGTACACGCACGCACACATACACACACGCACATGCACACGCACGCACACACAAACACACACACACATACACACACGTGCACATGCACACACACACACGCAGGCACGCACACACACACATGAAGGTCCCTTCTGATGGTCTAGTTTGTGCATTTCTGATTTTATTCATCAACTACACAGTGACCAAGACTGTGGTGAGATGGGAGTTAGGTCAGGATGGGTGACATCAGCGAAAAGTGGGAAGGATTGGAGGAGAGAAGCAGGTGGTTTCAGATGGTCAGGCTTTTCACCGGGCACCCAAAGCTATGTTCTTTCTAAGGAACAAACCCAACGAGGTGGATTTATGCTCTTTGGCATGACTCACTGGGAGGACACAGACCTCGTGAGCTGGGAGAAGTGTTCCGCACTGCGTTCCCAGAGGCAGAGGCCTCGCTCAGTCCCGTGTCAGGTTAAGCCCCCCCCGCCCCTGCTGCTCAGGGACCTCGCAGCCACGGGAGACCATAGAGGACTCCTGACACCCTTGCCAGGGGAGCTCGCGTCACTGTCCAGCTGGCCGTGAAGAGGGAGGGGGCTGGGGTCACAGGCCTCGCCTCTGGCCGGACGCTGCTTCTCATTTTCACTCCCATGTTCAAGTGGAGAAAGGGCTAAAAATAGAGCGGCCAGCGGTCCTGCAACCACGGACTGGAGCGAGCCTGCTGATGGGGGAGCTGGGGCCCCGCCAGGGCCCAGCGAGGTCCCGTAGCTGCCGTTTTAACTGTGTCAGGAAGCTAATAGGACGGTGGGCACCATGGCAGTGCGGCGAGGCTCCCGCTGGTGGTCCCCACCTTCCTTCTGAAGCCACCGCCTTCCTGTCTCGTTCATCGCCCCCGGCTCCCAGCCTCGGCTCCCTGACGACAATGGCAGAGCCCTCATCCCCACCCCTCCCGTCTCTGCTTCACCCTTCTCTCCAGCACCCTCACTCCCTGATGCGGGATAGTTTATTATTTACCTCATGTCTGTCTGTTTTCTCCCTTAGAATGTCAGCTCCATGAGGGCAGCGGCTCTCGCTGTTATATTTATTTATTTTTAAAATATGTCTTTATTGATTTCAGAGAGGAAGGGAGAGGGGGAGAGGGACAGAAGCATTGATGATGAAAGAGAATCATTGCTCGGCTGCCCCCTGCACACCCTCTGCATGTGCCCTGACCGGGAACGGAACCATGACCTCCTGGTTCATAGGTCAACGGCCAACCACTGAGCCACCGAGGCCGGGCTCTTGCTGTGCTATTCACTGCTGTGCTCTTCGCGCAAGGACGGAGCTGGGCATGCAGGGCGCAGTCACTAAACAGTTGCTGAATGAATGAGCGAAGGGCTGGTACCTGCCCTTTCTGGTCTAAAATGCAAAGCTTCCCCCTATAGAACTTCATTTCCCCAGCAGCTTTGAAGCATTGTTTTATGGAAGCCACGCATTCCCTCCCCCGCCCCCATGGGGGTAAACTACGCCTGGCCTGCCCAAGGGGAGTGTTTCTAGTTTGATGGAGGATCTTAGTCACTCAAGAGTGTGTCTATGGGGTGGGACCTGGTGGGAGAGACGCTTTCGAGTTGAGGAGCTTTGCTTTCAAGAGCTGCTTGTTCCCGTCGGCCTTGCTCTCCTCCGTCCTTACCTCGTTGCTAGGGAATAGAGCGCCTGGACTGAACTCCTGGCCGGTTACCCCTACCTGTGTAGGTGACCCCAGACCTCATGGGAGTCTGTGAAACGGACCATTGAATAAGCTGGGCGCGTAGATGGCAGAGCAAGTGGCTAACGTGACCTTGCAAAGCTCTGAAGGCGCGAGCTGCCCCTGGAGGCAGATCCCTCCTGTACCTTTTCTATTTTGCTCATCGTCTTCTAGTCCATCATTTCTTTCCTTCCTTAACCGGGAAGGGACGTAGGATTTTGGAAGGTCAGGGATATTAGCATAGATGTCTTCAATCGACTCTGCAAAATTAATATCAATTCAAAATACAGCTGGAGGATATGGACGGTCATGGAAACATGTCAGTGGGCTTGTCAAAACACATCTGAATGAGACAGACGAGAATGCTCAGAAACGTACCTCCTGGCGTTCCTTCCTTTTCCACCTTCACAGACTATAAGAGAGAAAAAAAAGAATTCTTTAAGGTTAATACAGTTGACAAGATCGCTTCTGAGTGTGGGTATGCGCTGAAGAATGGTACGCTCTCGTGGACCCGCTTGGAGGGGAAATCTGGTTTTAGGCTTCATCCAGGCACTCACCCTTATTATGTCTTCCGTGGTCCTCTCCACGGATTTCAGTTTCTTTAAAATCGCCTCCTCGTGAGTCGAGATCTGCAGCTCCGCCCTTTCCAGGTCTTGGATCTCTTTCTCAAGCCTGACAACAAAAGAGAGAGACGTTTTATTGCTGCGGCAGGACAAATGCGTCGCTCTCAAGTGTATCCCCCCACCCTGTACCCCCTCTCCTGGGGCGATGGCATGCAAGTATCCAGGTACCGTCTGAGAACGCAGCTCCCACCACACAGCACCTTGGGCCCATGGGAGGCACCCGACACCCAGCTTTGGTTGAACAGTGCTCAGTGCCAGGTTACCATGTGTTCTGGGCAAAAGGAATTCTTGGGTGAAGTGGTTGGCCCTTGCCCCAGGGTCTTCATTGCAATGACTAATGTTACTTCCCAGCGAAACCGAGGAATTTCTTGGACAAAGACTCTTAAGTTTAAAGTTGAACAGAAGGAACAGTGCATGTGCAGTTCGCCAATGTTTCGTACTCACATCTCCACATAAATGATTTGGAAAAAAATCATAGCAATTTTTTTTTCTAGCCAGTCAACACTTTAGAACATTATAATTATTAAGCTCAATTCAAGACTCATAGCTATTTAACAGGGAAGGACCCTTTGTATCCCAGCCCTGGGCATGATCCTTGGTTCTGATTTCAGTTTCCTGAGAGCTGTGTTGTGGTGTAGTGAAGAAGGCAAACACACACACACACACACACACACACACACACACACACACACACACTAGTGCATAAAAATTCATGCACTTGTTTGGGAGGGGGCAGGGTCCTTCAGCCCAGCCTGCACCCTCTGGCAGCCCGGGAGCCCTCAGGGGATGTCCACCTGCCAGCTTAGGTCCACTCCCCCGGGGGATTGGGCCTAAGCTGCAGTCAGACATCCTTAGCGCTGTGGAGGAGGCAGGAGAGGCTCCCGCCACTGCGGCTGTGCTTGCAGCTGAGCAGAGCTCCCCCTTTGGGAGTGCACTGACCACCAGGGGTCAGCTCCTGCATTGAGCATCTGCCCCTTGGTGGTAAGTGCGCATCACAGTAACCGGTCATTCCTGGTCGTTCCACCGTTAGGGTCAATTTGCATATTACCCTTTATTATATAGGATATTTGCATGTATATGTACACACATATGTATCTATATACATCCTTGTAATTATTCAAAGTATGTGTATACATGCATATGCACACATACATATTCATATGTGTGTATATATTTAAAAGATTTTAGTTTTAGATATTTGTATACCCTGTATATACAGGGTACACACACTTTAACAGCTGATAGATCAATTCTGAAAGTGAGATGTATTTTAATAAGCACTGCCTTTGGAATTATTCAGAGTGTGTGTAGACATTTTGGGGGGACACCCTCCCTACTGAAAACTAAAATTGTTTGTACCTGGGGCCTTTTGGGGGAGGTCACTGGGCGACGGCTCCCTAACCTTCACTGCTTCTCTCTCCGCGATGGGTTAGAGTTTCCGTAATTGCCGCATCCCCTCCTTAGGAGGTATCACCTTCCCGGGTGGAGCTGCGGCGGGGGGAGTGCTGACTCAGGCTGCGAGAACCAGGCGGTGGGGACAGAGAACTGGCCTCCTGGTGCCTCCCGGGCTGTGAGGCAGGGCCGATGGACGCGTGAGCCCCTCCCAGCTCCTGAGAGGTGGTGGGCAGGGGCAGGTGCCAGTTTAGATAACAGAGGATCTGAGAGAGGACTTGGGGTGCTGTCCGTGCCTGCAGTCCACCTTCTCCATGGCCACTGGCTGGGGAAGGAGGGTTATTTTCGAGAGTCCCCTGGGGAGAGCAGGCAGCTTTCATTTCGTGCCGTGGCCTGGTAACAACCTCCCTTACTCATCACGAGACAGTGTCCCCAGTCCCATTACAGCTGCAGTTTTTTATCTTCGAAAAAGGACAGAACATAACGCTGGATGCGCCAAGAAGGGGTCATTTCGGAAGGTGGTTTTTCTGCTGCTCAGGGTCCATTTCTCTCCCCCCATTGCCGGTGGAGTTAAGCAAGGGCTAACACAACCGACAGGCTGCCATGAGGGCCGGACAGACTGCAGCTCAGGAGAAAACAAACTCAGCAACGCGTGTCCTATGTCACAGCACCTCCTGCCAGCCACTAGAACCACGTGCCACATGTATGAGCGTCACCCTGTGCCAGGCCTGCTTGGTCCTCCCACCAGCCCGGAGCCCTGCGATGGTTCCATCGCACAGATGAGCAAGCTGAGCCCTCGGAAGGTCCCTGGCCGGGAGGCCCGGCCCGAGCAGGACGGGATTGGGAAGCAAGTCCCTCCCTACACCCTCCCTTCGGAGCCTGAGCTCCTAACTCCTGTCTCATCAGCCTCTGTGGGAGCAAGGCCTGTAAGACGGGTTTTAGGCAGAGGCCTCCTCCTCGCTCAGCGGTGGGACAGGGTTTCCGACTTTTCATGCTAATGAGGAGAGAAGATGGAAATGCTGGTGGGGCCCAGCCCCATGTGGAAGCAGCCTTTCTGCCCGGCCCTTCCTTAGGGTTTGCCGGGGCAGCCGTTCTCCGCTGGGTGGGCCGTCCTCCGCCCAGGAGTCAGGCCTGGCTTCGCCGTTTCCCTCGGCTGCCGAGCCTGGTCCTGGGAGGCGCTGGTGGCGAGGCCCCTGCCAAGGAGTTTCTCTGCTTCAACACGACGCTGTCCAAAGTGATGGAGGCTTAGGAGTGACACGGGCAGCGGATGCGGTGCGAGTGGAACAGAGCACACACCCGGAGCTGGACAAACGGCGCCGGAGTCCGGGACTCACAGGCTCTCAGGCAGGTGGCCTCCAGCAGGTGTTGAGTTCAGCTCCGAGTGCTGAGCAGTGTGACCCCTGACCCTGGACCCTGCCTCTGGGCCAGGGAGCTGCGTTCCTTTCTCCCCCACGGGATCCGGGAGACTGGGAAGCCGCTGGTGGTTTGCCTCTATTTTGTGATTTTGTGTGTGAAGGTTCGCTTCCCCCCCGCCCCCAGCTCTGGCCACGGACACAGACAGGGAGCCCGCGCAAAGCTGGCGCCCGTTGGAGTTACTGAACCGCCCCAGCTTCAGCTCCCTCGTTTGGGGTCATAGTTTCCCAGAGGGCTTTCTGGAGGAGGTAGATGAGGTCCTGTTGCAAGCCTCGGGCACAGGGTGTGACCTAAAAGGTGTTCCTTAGTAATGACTCGCTGTCCCTTCTCCTCTATGTCTGCTGGGGGGAGGGCCGGCTCCGACAGCTCCAGGGAAAGAGAAAACCTACCAGGTCCATCTGGAGAGTCAATCTTCAATTAAAAATTTAAAAAAATCAATCAATCAATCAATCAATCAATTTGAGAGAGAGAGAGAGAGAGAGAGAGAGAGATCAATTTGTTGTTGTAGCCTGGTTGGTGTGGCTCAGTGCTTCAGTGTGACCTATGAACCAGGAGGTCACGGTTCGATTCCTGGTCAGGGCACATGCCCGGGTTTCGGGCTCAATTCCCAGTAGGGGGCGTGCAGGAGGCAGCAGATCCATGATTTTCTCTCATCATTAATATTTCTGTCTCTCTCTTCCTCTCCCTTGCTCTCTGAAATCAACAAAAAAATATTTTTAAAAAGTTGTTTTTCCACTTGTTGATGCATTCATTGGTTGATTCTTTTGTATGCTCTGACTGGGGATCCAACCTGAAACCTTGACGTATGGGGGCGATGCTCTTATGATCAATTTTAATATTGATGCTTTTGGAACAAAGGGGTGCTAATATAGCTTCAGGGACACCCTGTCCTTGAAAATCCTGCTCTCGATAGAAAACCAAAATGCGCTCCAACATTGCCAGGATTGTTGTAATAGTTATGGGATGGTGCTTGATTAATAAATGCGATCCGTGCGATAAATGAAGGAACGGGCTAGCGACTAGTCTGTTTGGCCACCTGCTAATACCTCACCCCCAGTGCTCCTGTTCTCTCAGTAAGGGTTTCACGTGTCTCTCTGGCTACCTGGCCACAGACTGCATTTCCCAGCCCCCTTTGCATTAGATGGTGCCATGTGACTAAATTCTGGCCAATAGGACAGTAGTAGAAGCGACCTCTGCCATTTTCAGGTCATATCCTTAAAATAGAGGTGTTTGTCCTCCCTTTATCTTCCCTTCCCAGGCTGGAATGCGGAGGTGGCAGTGGAGAGCTGACGGTGGCCACGCAACCAAGGGACCACTTGGGGGGTGGGGTGGGGGAGCAGAGTAACAACAGGCAGATCAGGTGACTCGCCTCCTGCCCGCGTCCCCTGGAATGACTCCCAGCCGGACAGAGGCGACCCCCCCCCCCCCCCCGGCCTCATTGGTTTGCAGAATTGCTCAGGCAGGTCTTGCATTTTGGGGTAGTTAACCAGTAAAAATGGAAAAAAGATAATTCAGTCTTTGCTCTGGTGGGTAAAGAATTTACATGTTTCTGAATGACCCGTCAAATCCGAGATGCTTTGTATTGTCATGAGCTAGTTAATACGGATGCCTCCGGTCCGTGGGGGGGGTGGGGGTGGTGGGGATGCTGGGGGGAAGGAGGGGAGAAGCTGTAACGGTACAGCCCTGGCCTCGCCGATGCCCTTCAGTGCACAGAGCGGACGCTTGGGCCAGGCAACCCTGACCGAAGGGGGTTGGTCACCTGTGATGGGCGGCGGATGGTTCCTAATGGGTCGGCGGTAAAGATATTTTATCTTTAGAGATCGTTTGGCCAAGGCTAATGTCAAGCCACACCTGCTCCATAAAATTGAGAGTGTAGGCTAGTCGAACGTGGGCTGCTTTGTTTTATTGTTTTAAAGACGGGTCCGATACTTTCCATCAAACACTTAACAAACGTTCATAAGCACTTACGACGTGGCAGGCACACGTCCTCACCAGCTGAAACGAAAGTCTATGGGAAAAGACAAGGCACTTCTCTGCACGGAGGGAGGGCGGGAGTCGCGTACGGCCAGGCCTGCCGGCTGCGGACAGCGGCAATAAGGAAGAGCGGACTCACCGGAGCGGCCGCACGCCCCGGGGAGCGCGCCAGGGGACTGAAGGGCATTTGGCAAAGGGCAAGCGCGAGTCTGCCTCGAGCCAGATCTCCTGCGTCTAATCCTGAACCTTTAAGAGAACAGCAGTCGCACACGGCCGGCGGCTTCAGATAACCCTCCATGACATTGAAACAAGTGTGCGTCGGCCCTGAGCACTGGGGACAGAGCGGAGGCCTGGAAAAGCTGAGTAATTCCCAGTGACGCTCGAGGAACGCGGGGAATCTTGTCACCAGCTAGAATGCCGTAAACGTTAGTCATTATCTGATGGGCAGGGGATGCTACCATGGTCTGAGGCTGCCAGGCAGGCAGGCGATGTCACGAGAGAATCATTTAGGGGGCAAGCAAAGCCTCTCCGTCAGAACAGGATTTTGTATGGGAAGGGTTTCCTCGGCCGTCAGAATGCAGGAACCCACCTGGTTGGCAGGGAGCCGGGCACTTCCCTGTGCTGGTTACACAGGCAGCTTCACGTGGGTGGCCGTGAACGCATACCCTGCAGGTGGGCGTGGAGGACGGGTGGTTGGGGGCCTCTCAAACGCATTGGCAGGCAGAGGCTGTGTGTGTGTGTGTGTGTGTGTGTGTGTTTTAAATATATTTTTATTGATCTCAGAGAGGAAGAGGGAAAGAGAGAAAAACATCAATGATCAGAGAGGATCACGGATCGGCTCCTCCTGCACATCCCCTACTGGGGATCCAGCCTGCAAGCAGGCATCTGCCCTGACCGGGAATCTAACCGTGACCTCCTGGTTCATAGGTTGATGCTCAACCACTGAGCCACACGGCCGAGAGCCACACCGGCTGGGCTGGGTGTGCGATTTTTTATTAGGTCCTGCTGGGAACCACGTACTACGTGCCGGCATTTAATAAGACCTAAATACGTGTAATCATAGTTCACGTTGCCCTCTGCGTAGGGGACTGGAGTTTCCCAAGGGGCCTTCAACGATGGTGCCCAGGGCGTGGCAAGCTAACCACAGATGTTCCTCTCCTTCAGTTTGGAAAGCCTTTTTCTTTCCTTGTTTTTAAGTGGCAGGGAAGAATATTTTTAGTGAATAAACTACTTGTAATCACACAATGAAACGACACAACCCATTCAATGACGCCTGTAGCCACTGACTCTGTGTTGGACACAATCGCCGGCTTTGTCCTGGTCACCCCTCACATTTTTCTCTCCGGGTAACAGAGCCGCCACTGTCTTCTTGCTCCCCGGCCACTGCATTTCGCTTCGCCCCAGTGTTCACTGTGCTCACTGCACGCCCAGAGCAGGACCCCATTCTCTGAAGACCATGTGCTAGCTTCATGCAGCACAGATACCCACAAGGACCCGCTAGTCGTGGGTGGTCTAAAGGGACGGAGCGACATCTGACTCTGGTGGACGAGATGCACTGCAAGGCTGTGAGGCCGTCGTCTGGGGTGGGGGGGGGGGTATGGAGCTCTCCGGGGAATGAGTGAGCCTGCGCCCCTGGCACACACACCTTCCTCCCTCACCATGAGTCTCTGCCCTCGAACTTCCTTTTTATGTTGTTATTCCTCACCTGAGGATATTTTTTCGTTGATTTTTAGAGAGAGTGGAAGGGAGGGGGAGAGATAGAGATAAACATCGATGTGAGAGAGACACATAGATTGGTTGCCTCCTGCACGCACCCCGACCAGGGCCTGTAATTGAGGTACGTGCTCTTGACCGGGAATTGAACCTGGGACCCTTCAGTCTGCAGGCCGATGCTCTACCCACTGAGCCAAGCCAACCAAGGCTGCCTTTCTTTCTTTGTGACCAGGACCTGGGGGATGGGTCACTGAAACCAACACCCCCTACCCCTTCCTTCCTTCCTTAGTCACATCCAGAGCCCAAGGTCTGTGTCCCCTCGGCGGGTGGTCTCATATTTATGCTTCAAGTTCCTTACACTGTTTTGAACGCAAAAGCACTTTGAAAAGTTAAAGGATATAAAGAGAGGTGTTTTGAGAAGCTTAGAATTTCAAGACTTTTCTTTTTAGTTCATTAATGTTCAAGTCATTGTCTAGTCTTCACCTGGTCCCTCACATCGATATTTTCTAAGTCCATCCATCCATCCATCCATCCATCCATCCATCCATCCATCCATTTATCCATCCATCCATCCATCCATTTATCCATCCATCCATCCATCCATCCATCCATTTATCCATCCATCCATCCATCCATTTATCCATCCATCCATCCATCCATCCATCCATCCATCCATCCATCCATCCATTCCATCCATCCATCCATCCATCCATCCATCCATCCATCCATCCATCCATCCATCCATCCATCCATCCATTTATCCATCCATCCATCCATTATCCATCCATCCATCCATCCATCCATCCATCCATCCATCCATTATCCATCCATCCATCCATCCATCCATCCATCCATCCATCCATTATCCATCCATCCATCCATCCATCCATCCATCCATCCATCCATCCATCCATTTATCCATCCATCCATCCATCCATCCATCCATCCATCCATCCATCCATTTATCCATCCATCCATCCATCCATCCATCCATCCATCCATCCATCCATTTATCCATCCATCCATCCATCCATCCATCCATCCATCCATCCATCCATTTATCCATCCATCCATCCATCCATCCATCCATCCATCCATCCATTTATCCATCCATCCATCCATCCATCATCCATCCATCCATCCATCCATCCATCCATTATCCATCCATCCATCCATCCATCCATCCATCCATCCATCCATCCATTATCCATCCATCCATCCATCCATCCATCCATCCATCCATCCATCATTATCCATCCATCCATCCATCCATCCATCATCCATCCATCCATTTATCCATCCATCCATCCATCCATCCATCCATCCATCCATCCATTATCCATCCATCCATCCATCCATCCATCCATGCATCCACCCATCCATCCATCTGTCCATCCTTCTGTCTCTTCATCATCCATTTTTTTTCATCCATTCATTTATTAAGCTGTGCAGTCACATGCTCATGCTATGTGCTAGGCATGTATTAGGCATTTTTGGGGGGTGGTGGTGAATAGATTTCTTCCTTTTTTCCTGGAAAATGAATTTACTTAGCTCCTTTTGCTGAACTTAAAAATCTCCTAAATTAAAAATGATCAGAATATCTGAGAAATTAAAAACAACAACAGATGCACTGCTGCAAATCTGGTAAACCAATGAGTTAAACACGGAGAGCGAGAAGCATGCTGGGAACGGTTTGACTCCTGTAATTGCCGCGGATTAATTTCTTGAGTGTTTCTAGGCAACGGGGAATTTAAGAAGAAACAAGTGGTGGGTGTTTTGTGTCTCCCTTTTGGCCCTTTCCCCCGTTTCTCTCCCCTCTCACGTGATCGCAGGGGAGCGGCTGGTCTACGTCGCTGCAATGTGATGCGGGGCGTGGCTGGCTGGCTGTGAGGAGACGGTCCTCTCATTAAGGCACACACTGTCCCGTGCAGGTCGATGGGAGCCTTAGGTAGCGGTTCACCGTGGACCGGAACGAGAATGACTTAAATTTGGCTAAACCATAACCAGCAACAAAATCCGTTCACCTTTCTATTTCTACATCATGGAGTTCCTTGTTGAAATTGAAGCTGGCCTGGCTGGCATGGCTCAGTGGTTGAACGTCAGCCTATGAACCAGGAGGTCAGGGCTTGATTCCAGATCAGGGCATATACCTGGGTTGTGGGCTTGGTCCCCAATCCGAGGCATGTAGGAGGCAGGGGATCAATGAGTCTCTCTCATCATTGACGTTTCTCTCTCTCTCCCTCTCCCTTCCTCTCTGAAATCAATAAAAACATATATATATATATATATATATATATATATATATATATATATATATATGTTTTTTTTTAAATTGAGCTATCAGCTGTTAAAGTCTGTATACAGTTTTTGGGGACACCCTGTCTAAAGTGGCTAGAAAATACATTCTCCTCCTCCTCCTCCTCCTCTCTCTTTCTCCCATGCCGTCTCTTTTTTGTGATAACACTGATAATCCTATCGTATATTTGACCTTTCCGATTTTTCCCCACACCCTTTACCTCATTTCAAACCCAGGTGATTGAAAGCTTGGTTAGATCAGAAGCTGCCGGCTGCACTGAGCAGGTGTGATGGGCAGGGGTGGGCCTGGGGAAGGAGGTCACTGCCTGTGCCCAAATCATTGGGGAAGTAGATGAGAGACACTGTTGTGAGGTCTTCCCACAGCGCCTTCTCCTCCCAGCACTGGGTGTGGCCAGGGAGGCCTGGGCGATGTGAGGGGGGCAGCAGAAGCACACCTGTAGAGCTGTCCCGTCCTCAGGGGCGGGCGGGGGTTGGGGCTGCGAAGGCCTGTTGTTTGGTCACCTGCCATGGGCCAGGAAGGTGCTTCTAGCTTCGCATCGGTGTTTGTAAGCTGCCAATCACTCTAAAGCAGCGGTTCTCAACCTTCCTAACGCCGCGGCCCTTTCATACAGTTCCTCATGTGGTGGTGACCCCCAACCATAAAGTTATTTTCGTTGCTACTTCATCACTGTAATGCTGCTACTGTTATGAATCATCATGTAAATATCTGATATGCAGGATGGATTTTCATTGTTACACATTGGACATAATTAAAGCATAGTGATGAATCACAAAACAGTATGTAATTATATATGTGTTTTCCGATGGTCTTAGGAGACCCCTGTGAAAGGGTCGTTCGGCCCCCAAAGGGGTCGCGACCCACAGGGTGAGAAGCGCTGCTCTAAAGGCTATCGGTGCTGCTATCTTGTGCATGAGCACGTCGGCGGCGTCACCGATCTGCACTTGACGAATCCCTCTTGCATTGCTAGGCGCAGGGACATCTACAGCACCGTCGCCATGGTTCCCCTTGGTGTGTTTCCCTAGTTTCTATGAGAAATTTCAAACGGAAGATCCGACGTTGTCCCCAAACGTGAGAACGGCTCTTCCCCCTGCAGCGTGGGGACTAAATCGGAACACAGGCGGCTGGGAGCCTCCGCGAGGCCCTACCTGAGGATGCTCTGGTCCAGCGCCTGGATCTGCCGCTGGTCCTGCTGGTTCTGCCTCTTCAGCTCCTCCTGCTCCTTCCCGCCGCCGCCGACGCCGTCCAGCAGCCAGCTCTCCCGCAGGGCCTTTTTCTGAGTCAGGGGACACAGAGACGTTTCCTTAAGCCAGTCCACAGCCCCTGACCTCTGACCCCTCTCAAATCTAGGAGTTTCAACACGGGCACACTTCAGAGAGAAAGAATCCTCCCCTTGCCTGAATAAACCTGGCCTTTTCCTTCTCTGCACCCTTCTTTTTAAAAAATATGTTGTTATTAAATTCAGAGAGGAAAGGAGAGGGAGAGAGAGATAGAAACATCAATGATGAGGGAGAATCATGGCTCGGTTGCCTCCTGCACGCCCCCTGCTGGGGATCAGGCTTGCAGCTGGGGCCTGGGCCCTGGACCAGAATCGAACCCAGGACCCTTCAGTCCACAGGCCGACACTCTATCCACTCAGCCAGACCACCCGGGATGCACGGAGCACCCTTTGCAAACCACGGGAGTGAGCGACACCCTCCTCCCAGGTCACGGTGTTTGGGTTGACCTCTCAGAGTTCAAGGGCACGTGGACAACGCACCCAGCGAGCCAGAGCGTCCTCTCAGCCTCTAATTATAGCCGCTGAGCTGCTGTGGAAACGTTTTCCCGCAGACACAGTCCGTGTTATCCCCACAGGTCAGGGCTGATCTCCTGAAATCCAAGACACCACGTGAGCCTGAGTTGTCGCCTTTTTAAAGAATTCACCTGGACTTTAATTTGCTTTTATTTGGTGGACGATGGTGCCCAGTAACACAGAGGCGGTCCCTGTCAGAGGGCGTTGCTGCCCTTCCCAGCCCCCTCGCCGGGAGTGTCAGTCACATGCGGCCTGGTCACTGCCCGGCCATGGGGACGGGCTGGCCGGTACACGGAGAGCGAGCCGTGTGGCGTGATTCCGGCAGCGAGGGGCTGCCTTCTTGGCTCTCAGCCTGGCGGGGAATGAGAGTGATTTTCCTTTTAGCCGCGTAAAACGTGGTGCGTCACCCACACCTCGCCATTTCCCCTGGCAGAGAGCTCATCGCAGGAACAGAAAGCCTATCGTTTGGATGTGCAATCAGAATGACTCGGTGCCATATTCTAGTAATAAAAACAGTTATTTTGCTGTTATGTCACGAGTTAGACTTAAGCATAGGAAGTTAATGAACATATAGGCTCTATTTCACAGTGACATTCAGAATCAAAGGCATAGTAACTATGTGAAAATGTAAGTGGTATGGAGTCAGACATTTTGGCAGTTAAAGAATTATATTTGCTTATATTTTCTGGTTACTTTGGGCAGTTTTTTTTCTTTTTTAAATATATATTTTTTCAGAGAGAGAGAGGGAGAGAGAGCGATAGAAACATCAGTGATGAGAGAGAACTGTTGATGGGCTGCCTCCTGCACACCCCCAACTGGGGACGGAACCCAAAACCTGGACATGTGCCCCGACCGGGAATCCAGCCGTGACCTCCTGGCTCATAGGTCAATGCTCAACCAATGAGCCAGCGGTCGGGCTGGGCAGTGTTTTAGGGAAAGGTTTCCCGAAGCACTTCTACGTCCTACACATCATGGCACAGATGTTGGGAATCCATTTGTTCTTCAAACCATGAATGTAATGGGCTCCCAGAAAAGAGACATTTTCTAGGTTTGTTGTATTTTATGTGTCTCTGTGGCTTGAGACTCTGACCAGGATGCTTGGCAAGATGACCCACAGGGCAGGCCCGGGTGTCAGGACACTAACAACATCCCGGGAAAGCTGCTCGCCCAGCGTGTGGTCGGGGTGTTTGCAGGACCCGGAGCGAAGGGGCTCGGAGGGAGTGCCCGCAGCTCTTTGAAATGAGTGCGCTTCCTGTGTGTGCACCTGCGTCGCTTAGGGTGGTGGCTGGAGCGGACTGACCAGGCCCGCGGTCAGCGAGGTGGGGCGGGGGGACAAGCGGCGAAGGAGCAAGTGAAAGGGACACTGGTCGCGGCGGAGGCCAGCGCGCTCTGGGCGGGGTGCGCCTGCTCCGGGATAGGTTTTCAAATGCTCGCCCACATTCCTGAGCTGTGCTCTGGCGGGGTGCCCGGTGGCCGCTGGGTCAGCCAGCCCTTTCCGCAGAGCTGGGAGATGAGCCTGCTCACCAGACGCCCTTTCCTCCCGCCCCCTCGGCCTCCCAGGCAGTCTCATGGCGGCACAAATGCCTCACAGGTTGCGTGGCAGCTTCCACGGTGAGGGCGCAGGCTGGACTTCGTTCTATACTCTCTGGAAGCTTTGGCGAGCGTCCAGCTTAGTGCCTGGCACATGTAGGTGTTTAAGAAATCGTTACTGTCTTGGCTGGCGTGGCTCAGTTGGCTGAGCATCGTCCCGCACACTGAGAGGTTGCTGGCTCTACTCCTGGTCAGGGCACAGGCCCCGCTTGCAGGTTCGGACCCCCGTCTGGGTACGATGGGAGGCAACTGATCCATGTGTCTCTCTTCTCTCTCTCCCTTCCTCTCCCTCCCCCCCTTCCTCTCTCTCTAAAAATATCAATAAAAACAATAAGTAAAAGAGGTATGTATTGATGGAAAGGCCCCATGTGCGCCTCCGCCAATTCTACTTAAGAGTCAGCTTCAGACCCACTTCCACAGAGCCCTGTTACTGCCTATTCTTATATTTAAATTAAAAATCATCATCTAAGTTCTCCTCATTATTTACTTCATCTTGAATTTCCCACTAGGTTGCAGGCAGAAGGGCTATAGCCCACCAGGGCCATGCTGGTCTCCATGGTATTAATATGCAGATGAGAAGGGCGGTTCCCCACTCCCACCCCTTTGGGTCAGTGCACAGCTCTGGGGGTGGACAGCTCCCTGTGCAGAGACAGAAGCGGCCGCAGGCCCTGGTGCATGTGGGGGTGTGGCAGGGTCTCAGCAGCATGCTCCCAGGTAGCCCTGAGCATAGCGCACCCCACACACCTGTGCACACCCCGCACACCTGTGCACACCCTGCACACCTGGGCACACCCTGAATACCTGTGCGCAGCCCGCACACCTGGGCAAGCCCGCACACCCGGGCACATCCCGACACCCGGGCACAGCCCGCACACCCGGGCACAGCCCGCACACCTGGGCACAGCCCGCACACCTGTGACCAGCTGAAGCATGATGAGCGCTTTGGTGGGCTGGGTTAGAAGAGTCCCGCTGGGTTCTATGGGAGATCATGTTCTCCTTTGTGGACGGCTTTGGCAAGCGCTGCACTGAGCAGCCACCTCGGAGTGGGCCTTCCCGTGGGTGAGAGGGTTCCTGTGTGAAACTTATGTCCTAGAGCAGTAGTTCTCAACCTTGGCTGCACAGTAGAATCACCTGGGAATCTTGTTAAAATCCTGATTTCTGGGCCTCATCCTCCGGAAATTCTGTTCCTTTGTGATGGGGTGGAGCCACCACATTAGTAACAAAGAAACAGAATTTCCGGAGGATGAGGACCAGAAATCAGGATTTTAAAAAGATTCCCAGGTGATTCTAATGTGCAGCCAAGGTTGAGAATCGCTGTCCTAGAGGGACCCAGGGACCAAGGGACCCAGGCAATGGTCACACCTGCGTGTTCTACAGCAAAACCAATCGCTGAATGCAGAGAGCAACGTGTTTGCTTAGGAGCAGTAATTTGTTCCCTGGGAGACCAAACTGTGTGTGTGTGTGTGTGTGTGTGTGTGTGAGAGAGAGAGAGAGAGAGAGAGAGAGAGAGGCAGCGACCCACAGCACTGATTTTGGAGTTAGAAATGGCCCATCTTAAAAACTGCTGTAGGTTTGTCTTCTGACTTCGGTCGCGTTGCAGTGAAATAACTTGGTAAAGCTGGTTCTCACTGCCTTGGGTTCCCCGGGAGCACACCCTGCATTTCCTGGCTGTGTCCGCTGCTCGGTAACTCAGGGGACACCCTGGGGTAGCAGGCCAGCCTGCCTCCCCCCGACCCGCCAGACGCGGACACGCCGGTTCGTATGGGAGCAAAGACACACAGAATCCCGAGCACTGGGGCCCTGGAGTCTCCAGCGACGTGTCTGCTCAGAGGCGGCCCTTGTCCACCAGAGAGATGGGCTGAGCTGAACGGGTCTCTCTGACTTTGGGGTGTGGGCCCCGTGAGTGTAGGCCGATCCCACGAGGGGCTTGTCCCCCCTGCTGGTAGCAGCCCGCCACCCGACTGCTCTCTGCTCGGGCCTGCTCAGGGAGCCCAGGTTCTGGCCTGGTTGCCTCCAGTGGCAGGAAATGCTGAGTCGCAGCTGCTTTAATGACAGTGGCCACACCCACGGGAGAGGGAAAGTCTGATGTTAAAATGGAGCTGTATTTTGGGTTATGATCTCATGTTCCGTCCAAAGAAAATAAAACAAAGACCCAAACCACTCTCAGCCAACATGGCGCCCACTGGGCTGAGCTCTCAGGCCCCGCGTCCTCGGTGGGTGGGCCTCTTGGGGTCGGGCCTGGCCCCTGGGGAAGGGCGGGCCTGGCCTTCCGTGGATGTGAAAAGGGGCTTCCTCGTGGCCCCGCCTCCGGGATGGTAAGCAAGGCCGTGTCCGGGGCCAGATGCCAGGGCTGAAGCCTCCCTCCCTGCGTCCAGGCACCTGAGGACACTCAGGAGTAAAGGCTGACCCGTGAGAAGCAGGCTCAGCTCTGCACATGCTGCCAGGAAGGCGGACGTCACTGCTTGCCGGCCTCTCTGAGCCAGGAGGGTGCTGGGAGGGTGCTGGGAGGGTGCTGGGAGGGTGCTGGAGGGTGCTGGAGGGTGCTGGGAGGATGCTAGGAGGGTGTTGGGAGGGTGTTAGGAGGGTGCTGGGAGGATGCTAGGAGGGTGTTAGGAGGATGCTAGGAGGGTGCTGGGAGGATGCTAGGAGGGTGCTGGGAGGATGCTGGAGGGTGCTGGGAGGATGCTAGGAGGGTGCTGGGAGGATGCTAGGAGGGTGTTAGGAGGGTGCTGGGAGGATGCTGGGAGGGTGCTGGGAGGGTGCTGGGAGGATGCTAGGAGGGTGTTAGGAGGGTGCTGGGAGGGTGCTGGGAGGATGCTAGGAGGGTGTTAGGAGGGTGCTAGGAGGGTGCTGGGAGGGTGCTGGGAGGATGCTAGGAGGGTGTTAGGAGGGTGCTGGGAGGATGCTAGGAGGGTGTTAGGAGGGTGTTAGGAGGGTGCTGGGAGGGTGGTGGGAGGGTGCTAGGAGGGTGCTAGAAAGGTGCTGGGAGGGTGCTGGGAGGGTGCTGGGTGGGTGCTAGGAGGGCTGTGTGGGGCTGTCTTTCTTCCTATCGCGATTTCCTGTTGAAACCCGAGTGCCAGGAGGGCCCTGAGGACAAAGCCGCTGGGCGGAAGGGAAGACACGTTACCTTCAGGTGCTGGTGCTGCAGCTTCTCCTCCTCTATCTTCAGGCGCTTCTCGGAGATTTCCTCCTGTATTCTCCTTTTATCCTGAAATACACAAGTCCCGGCGTCACCTTTCCCATTTCACATCGGTTTCCTTAACCGCGTGTTCTCGGGTTGGTGCCGGGGTGGAGAGGGTGGCCAGCGACGGGCGCCTGGCACGGGTACGAGGCTGCTTTGCAAACTCCTGCTGCACAGCAAGGAGAGCAGAGGGGCCCGTTCAGGGCACCTGTGGCTGGAGGAGGACACGGCGCTTTTTCAAAGAGAACCAAGCCGCTTCCCTGCCCCCCTGCCCCTCTCCTCGCTCTGTCTTCCCCAGGAGCCCAGCGAGGTCGAGCCGTGGGGGTTAGAGAGCCGGCATGTGGGGACCCGGGGTACAGCCTGGGGCGCCTGGCCTGTGGGATTGTGGTGGCCGTGAGAGGGCCGGGCGGGTGCCTGAGGCCCCAGGGGACCACTCTGTGACGTGTGGGGCTGTCTGGCCACCGGGCTGTGTGCCTGAAACTAATGCAGAATGGTGCTGGGTGTGAGCTGTGATGGAAACATTTCACAAAAGTACATGATCAGGAAAGACAACGAAAGATGGAGCTGCGGAGAGGTGCGATGGGAAAGCGAGTTGAGGGAGGGCGCCCTGAAGGAGGCCGGGGACCCTGGGGAGGGGGACTCGTCCCGGCGTGAGGGTGAGGAAAAGGGCGGTGCGATGGGAAAGCAGGCCGGACTCGGGCGCTGCCCCGGGCACCGCTCCCTCCTTGTGTAACTTGCTGTGGGAAGATGGAGAGAACAGGGGTGAGGCACTGCTTGTCAACACTGAGGTTAGAAAAACCTCATGGGGCGAGACTGTATCTTTCACCAACTTCAAACTGCAGAACCTCACAAAACCCAGAACGCACGGCTGGGCCTGCACTCGGCCTGCACCGTTGAGAAAAAGGTAGCGCGTGTACTCCATCGCCTGGGCTCCAGTTCCGGCTCCGCCATTTGCCAGCTCGGTGTCCCCGGACACAGTGCTTAAGTTCTCGGTGCCTCGATCGCCTCATCTCTACCATATGGGTGATTACACTACCTGCCTCATGAGGCATTGGCATGAAATGAGCGGATATGTGCAAGAGTTCCTAGGACAGTGCTTGGCACAGGGTCTCCTGCGAGTCTCCGTGGGATAAAATTTGCTAAAGAAACCTGTTAACCACACAGAACGCCAGGCACTCATTCTGATCACGCGTGCCGTGGTCGGAGGTGTTTGAGAGATTTCACAAGCTGCGCCAAAAGGCCCTGTTTCCTTCTGGTCACCATTGTCATTTTTCAACGGAGGTGACAATGCGGTCCATCTGACTTATAAGAGATGGTTTTAAATCTGCTTCCAAAAAAATGGAGGCTCCCACAGAACAGAAGTGTGTGGCCAGTGGAGACATCGGAGGGATCGGAAGCCGGCTCGGCTCCGAAGGCGGTTAGAAGGAAGAGATCCAAACACCCTTGGCAGCGTGACTGCAGCGGGGCGGCCTCCCCAGGCGGCCGCTTTGAAGATAAGAACTCGCTTGGATGTGGAAGCTCAGGTGCATTTGTTGAAGGAAAACAGCCCGGCGCTCAGCCTGATGTCATTGCTCGTCCCTGCCTGGAAGGAGACGGTGACCTCACCAGGCATCTTCCGGAAGCAGCTCTTTTGGAAAAGCAATCGCCAGGCAACCAGCCGGCCACTTCTTTCCCTTGGATAAGATCTGGCCGTTGGGAAGAAAAACTCCCCAAACGCATGAGTCAGGTCGCCACCCGCTCTGGAGGCTGGTATGGAGCAAATACTAGTCATATTTTAACTTCCTGCACCAGACGCTGTGGAACGTCGTTATGGGCACCGTTTCACTCGATAGTTATAACACGATGTGCTGTGATATTTCCCTTAATAGTCATAGTTACAGGAGGCATCGCAGGAGGAGAAGCGGGTGTGGGGGTCACTGGCCAATCCACGCTCTCGCAACCCGTCAGTGGCAGAGCCGGGATCCCCCCCCCCCCCAAATATGAGTTTTATTCTAAGTGAGGAGTTTGGGCTTGGCTGGCATTGGTTTCTCCTTTGGAAAGGAAGTATACGTGGTGGTGACTGCACCAACACACAAGATCCCATTTAATAAATTAAACTATAATGACTGTTTTTTACCGGTTTACACCGGATTTTTATTGATTAAATTTTCCCCACAAGAACAAAAGCCTCCAAATTCTTTTTTTCTAAATATATTTTTATTAATTTCAGAGAGGAAGGGAGAGGGAGAAAGAGATAGAAACATCAACGATGAGGGAGAATCATTGATCAGCTGCCTCATGCACACCACCTTCTGGGGATCGAGCCCACAACCTGGGCATGCGCCCTTGACCAGAATCGAACCCGGGACCCTTCAGTCCACAGGCTGACGTTCTATCCACTGAGCCAAACCGACTAGGGCTTTAATTCTTATTTTCTGAAGCAAGGTAACAATGAAACCAAAACCCACCCCAAATTGGGACTCTCCCCCGCAAAGTAAACACTAGGCCAGTATCTTCCAAGAATATTTAGGAAAGAGAAAGCTAAATAAGATATTAGAGACAGAATCCAGAGCGCATCAGAAGAACTATGTACTTTGTCCACGTGTAGGATTTTTTCAGTCGCAAGGAGGGTCAGTCTTAGGAATGACAGACTATGATTAAAACACATCATCCCCTCAGCACATCTAAGCAGGAAACTCCTGTTTCCATTTCCACAGATTCCTAAAAGACATTTGACAAAATTCACCATTTAAAAAATTTTAATGAGACATTAAAATTTTAAGGAGAATTCCCTAACTTGATAAACTAGATTAATCTCAGCTCAAAAGGAAACAGCATGCCCAGTGTGGAAAGAGTTCCGAATCTTAAATATTAAATTGAGTTAGGTTCCAGCAGTAACCAGTAAAGTTAGATGGAAAAAGAGAAAGGAAATTAGAGAAACAATTAGTGGGGCCCCATGTTAATGTATGGAAGTCAATTCCTCTGACGCATACAAATCACAATGAGAAGATACCAGGGAAGAAAGTGCTCTACTTGTCCTAGAAACTAGAAAAACTGAAACACCTGGGAGTGAACTTCACGTCAAATGTCAACAAGAACTTGTAAAACATTCCTAAGGGACACAGTAAACTTGAATTAATAAAACTGGTGCCACCTTACGATTAGGAAGACATCATGAAGACATGGTGAATGCCAATTCCCCGCAAGTTGCTATTCTCCATGAACTGTTTGTTCTCCATCAATTTCACGTGGCCCCCACCCATGCACCGATGGCTGTGTCGTGGGAGGCCGTCCTGTGGTAGGATGTTGAGCGGCATCTCTGACCTCCACCCACTGGCTGCCAGGAGTGCCCCCGAGAAGTGATAACGGAACACATCTCCAGTCCTTCTTCAACGTCCTGGCTGAGCACCACGGAGAGACGCTAATCTCCAGCACCCACCAACTAGTGAGGTCCGCTGCGTGGTGGAGCGTGAGAAGAGACGGGCGTCTCCAATGGCCACGAAAACGGGTTTTACCGGGTCAACATGTTGACCTACCGGTGAAAGCACACGGTGGCTGACTCCCTGATGCCTCTAGCTTTCCGCAGGAGGCGGGTGTGTCAGAGGGCATCGGCCTCAAGCCAGAACGACACCCACTGGGTCACAGCGCAGATAGGAGGTGGGGACTTCTGCAGACATTGGGAAAAAATACGGGGTAAGGACTCCAACCCCAATGGCGCTAGACCATGTAGTCTGATGCCATCACCACCGTAAGAGATAGGTTAGGGAGCTACGGAGAGTCGTTCTATTAGGAAAAATGTCTTCAGAAAAAAAAGATACCACAGGATACCTGGGGGTCATCCCTTAACTAAGGAATTGGCAAAAATAATCATCATCATCATCATCATCATCATCCGTGAGTGGAGACTGTTAGGGATCCCGTTCCCAGTACCACCAGCTGCCCACTGCCTGCCTCCCAAGACCACGGCCTGTCTCTGACCTCAGGACCTCTGGTCCCCCCATGAAGGCTTCTTCAGCGTCCGCACCATCCAGCTGTCTGCTTCTCAGGTCTGGGGGGGATCTGTTGCCCACTCGTGGGTGTGATTGACTGGGGGCTTTTCCTTTCTGTCCATCTCCCCTCCCGGCGTTGGGGCCGGCCCAACAGTTGCCTTCTGAGGGGGAAGTTCTCAAGAAGGGATTGAGTCCCACCGCCTCGCACCCGCCTCTGCACCCGAGCACTGTCACCAGCGCTCCAGGCCTGCGGGTGCTTTGCTTTTGAACTTGGATGTTTCCAACGATGGTGTTAGACGTGCCTCACTCTCCCCCACCCTCACCAGTGGAAACGAATGGAGAGACACGGCCTTGGTGAGCACAGTGGCCTTCAGAGAGAACAGATGTGCCCGTGAATGGAAGCGGACGGGAAATTATGTGCGTCCCCAGGAGAAAGACTCACGCGCCCCTTTCCCACTGAAAGGAGGCCCCTCGTTTTCCCTATAAGAGCTCGCGAGTGTATGTGTCCGTTTTCACGACATGGAAGAACGCGCCCTTCGGCCAAGTTTCTACACTTTCCAGAACCTGGAGGAAATGGTGATATTTCCTCCCACTGAGTGTCGAGTGCAGACGTGAAGGCCTCCTAAGCCCTGTGCCCAGCGCCAGGGCCAGCCGTGGGAGCTGGGGTTCCCCGCCTCAGAGCGCAGGGGCGGGTCCGAGTTCCCCGTGCGCGCAGGTCACCGGCACGTGCAGGACCCGCGCACGGGGGCTCCCCAGACGCCAGCGCCCCACGCGCTGTCCTTGCGCCCCGAGGTGCCAACGGTCAGCCTAGCCCTACCCGCCTGGAATCTCCAAACAGCCGGACTGCCCGGGAGCCAGTGGCCCCTGGACCGCGACCCCGTCGCCCCATCATGGGCAGCTACCTGAGCAGGTACCTCCGCACGGCCCGCGCCTCGCTGCGGCCCTCCGCCCGGGGGCGCCCGCTCCCCCCTCCCGGACCCGTGCTTCGCCTGCGGGGCCCGGAGCGGGGTGGGGAGCAGGGCCACGTCCCTTGTGCGCACCCCAGGCTCTGCGCCCCCACCCACCCCCCGCCCCCCACGCCGCCTGGCTGGCACCGAGCCAGGGCCTGCAGGGGCCGGATGCCCGAAGCCAGGAGGCGCTTCCCCGGCCCCCCGCCCGGGCCGGGCCCCGCGGGGCGGGCTGTTCCCATGGCTCCGAAGGGCACGGTGACGCTGCGGATCCCCGGTGCCCGGCACTCACGGCGCCCGCAGAGCCCGGTGACCGTCAGGATCGCCCCCCCGGAGCGCAGGGGGAGTCTCTACACATGCCCCCCGAGCCGAGAGCGCTCAGACCCCTGTGCCCGGGACACGGTGCTGCAGGCGCTGAACCAGTGCAGCAAAGGACGAGCCAAGTTCGACGGCCCGCTCTGGTTTGAGACCCCAGAAGCCAAGAGGAGGAGGCACAGCCCCCAGCGCGGCCGCTCCGCCTTCGCGCCCATCGGGAGACTCGGCGCGGCCCTTCCCCTCGTGCCCAGGCCGGGGCCTCTGCGCCCCCTGCAGCCATGCGGACGGGAGGCCCCCGCCGCCCGCCCTGAGCCGCCCCTGCGCGCGCCCCACCCCGATGCGAGGGCACCCCCAGCCCCGGCCACACCGTCCCGGCCTCCGGCCCCCGAGAACCTGAAGCCCGAGGTCGCCACTGTGTCCGGTTAGTGGTTAGTCAAGGCCTCACACCACGGGGAGCCCAGCGCTTCCCCGCATGAATCAGGGGCACCCCAGATCCCCTCCCACCCCCCCACACCCGGCTGGCAGAGCTGCCCAGCCCCAGACCTTCTCTCCTCAGCTGGCAACATCCGCTGCAGAATCACTGCTCTGATCACACCTCTGCCTCCCTCCCTCCCTCCCTCCCTCCCTCCCTCCCTCCCACCCACCACCGCCTGGCCCGCCCCGCCTCTCCCAGGGCACACGAGGGAGGGTCTTCCTCCCCTTGCCCAGTTGGTAGAATTAAAGTTTGTACTTGTTTTAAATAAGAATTATAGGCATCGTTATTACCATGGAGACGGGCACAGTCTTTCTTTTGGATTCATGTGCTAGGGTTTCTTGCACTCTGCCCTTTCTCCACCTTGCACCGTTAACATTTGGGGCCGGGTAATTCTTTTATTTTTCAATCCTCACCCGAGGATATTTTCCCATTGATTTTTAGAGAGAGTGGGAGGGGGAGAGAGAACTGTGGATGTGAGAGACACATCCACTGGTTGCCTCCTGCATGCGCCCCTGACCAGGGCCCAGGCCAGGGAGGAGCCTGCAACTGAGGTACGTGCCCTTGACCAGAATCAAACCGGGGATCCTTCAGTCTGCAGGCTGATCCTCTATCCACTGAGCAACACCGGCCAAGGCAGGGCAGGGTAATTCTTTGTGGTCTGTTGGGTGCTGGCCTCTGCATGGCAGGGTTTTAGCAGAATCCCTAACCTCTAGGTGCCAAATTAGTCCGGCTCCCACAGCTGCCATCTGGAGTACCGTGGTCTGGACCTGCCCCAGCACAGCCAGCAGCAGGGGGGCCTCCTCGGAAAGGAGCACATTGCTAGCTCCCTGCTGCAGTCACACACCTGTCTCCGTGGGGAGCCCGCAGAGAGAAGCAGGCAGGTGTGTGCGGCAGTGGCTGCTGGCCCCGGCCACGCTGCCCCACCCCTGTCCGCAGCCACTCGGGCCGGTTTCATCTCGGGGTTTGGAAGAAGGTAACGAAGGCTGTGGCCGGAGGCGGAGGCGGAGGCGGCGCGTCCCCAGTGTTTTGGCAACACCAGGCTGGCAGAGGGTTGCTAAGGACTACGCTGTTGGTCACGCGGGCGTCGGTAATGTGATGCCTCCTATCACCCAGGCCGTTAAGAAGGAAATTTTATAATGTCGTAGGTGTGATTCTACTTGAAGCAAGGAGCACCTTTTCCTCATGAGATCGTCCCCAGCAGTGAGCGATTATCCTGCTGCCGGATTTCATAGGAATAGGAGCATGATTGAGAAATAATGTGCGAAATAAAAGATCAGCCCGTCTTAAGTTGTATGTCTAGCTCGACGGCTGGTGATGCCAAACGTTACCCTCGCCAGCTCATTCCTTCCCACATCATCATGAAACAGATGTGAAGTGCCAGCTGCTTCCCCACCTTCCCCCACGAGCCCGCGTGTCTCCACAGACACCTGCTGGGACCTGGCACCCGAGGGGTGTCAGTGTTAACCATTACGGACAACTTCTATTTCTGTTTCCGTCTAAAGTCAATTAACAAAGGGGCTTTTTGTTCACAGAACAATTGCCTAGATTTTTAGTTGTTTTACTTAGACTGTTTCAGCAGGTGACACCCTCAAATTCCAGTTCTGTAAACGGCCACCTCTTAGTTATAATGAAAATTTATGTACCTGGGACAACTATAAGGCTATTGTGACCGTCAGTGATTCAATGATATGACCTCAATCCCATACTTGACCAAAGTAAGCACAGTACTTAGAGATGAGTATGTGAGAGATGTTGCTGATGTTGATGTAGCTGATATGATAAAAGTGCCCGAATCTGTGAGGAAGGCAGGAGTGATCCCGAGTTATTGAATTATTAGTCTATCCAACATTTAGGCACTTCCATACACATGCTATGTTCAAGGCGACGCTAGGGTTGTGTAACATTTAAAAATTATTTAGAAGTAGATGCGTCCGCCAAGGAGCTTACATTCTCATGAGGAAAGAAAATCATGCATACAAGTGACTCTGGCCTCAGACGCGAACGGATCCATGTCGTTACTGAGGCCCAAGCAGGGTGCGTGTGAGCTGAGGGGAGCGTGTGAGCTGAGGGGTGCTTGTGAGCTGAGGGGTGCATGTGAGCTGAGGGTGTGTGTGTGAGCTGAGGGGTGCGTGTGAGCTGAGGGGTGCGTGTGAGCTGAGGGGTGCATGTGAGCTGAGGGTGTGTGTGTGAGCTGAGGGGTGCGTGTGAGCTGAGGGGTGCGTGTGAGCTGAGGGGGTGCGTGTGAGCTGAGGGGGTGCGTGTGAGCTAAGGGCGTGCTTCAGCTGCCGTGGTGGTGGGGGCTTGGGAATACCCTATGAGGGCAGTACGGTACATCTTCCCAAAGTGACCCCACAGCCACTTATGTAAGTGAAAATAGTCTTATTTTATTCTTATTAAAACTGAAGTGTTTCCATTTAATTAAAATATTCATAGTAGAATAAAAATACTCTTTTTTTTTTAAAAAATATTTTTTTATTGAACTTTTTTAGAGAGGAAAAGAGAGGAAGGGAGAGAGATAGCACATCAATAATGAGAGAGAATCATCAATCGGCTGCCTCCTGCACGCCCCCTACTGGGGATCGAGCCTGCAACCTGGGCATGTGCCCTGACCGGGAATTGAACCAGTGGCCGCTTGTTCATTCAGTAGACATTCACCCCCTCAGCCACACCAGTTGGGCAAAAATACTCTCTTGCTTGATTCTAGGAGGAGCTCTGTCCTCTGGGTCTCGGGGTTGGGAGTGTCCACACGGGACCGGGCTCCCCCGCAGATGCTGGTCTCTCGGGTACCAAGCCAGTGCTCCCCAGCAGCTCCCACTGCTCCCCAGCAGCTCCCAGTGCTCCCCAGCAGCTCCCAGTGCCCTCCAGCAGCTCCCAGTGCCCTCCAGCAGCTCCCAGTGCTCCCCAGCAGCTCCCAGTGCCCTCCAGCAGCACCTAGCCGTGGTGCTCTGCGCTCAGGGCATCCTGTGGTCGGGGCTGGCGAGGCGGCCCTCTCACCCCGCAGCAATGGGAAAGCTGGCCCGTTATCAGAACGCATTTCCTTAGTGAGCTCCCACCGTCGCGGCGCCTCCCCACGTGGTCTCCGTGTGGGCGGCTGCTGTGCTTGGCACAGAGGCGCAGGGCACGTGCGTGAGGACGCTATTCCTTCGCTGGGAGAAAGGAGTCATCCTGGGACTGCGCCGTGGGAAGTTGCGCCCGGCCTCATGGTTCGCACCTCCTGGCACAGGTGTCCTCCACGCAGGCACGCCTACAGCTCCGGTGCCATCTTCCTGCGCACCCTCAGATGCTCGTGACAAATCAGTTCCTCCTGTGACAATGTCTGAGCCCCGAGTACAGGTGCGGATGCTCTCTTTGCGCCATTATTGCTTTAAGAAGTCCTGCCCGGCCGGCGTGGCTCAGTGGTGGAGCGTCGACCTATGAACCGGGAGGTCACGGTTCGATTCCTGGTCAGGGCACAGGCCGGGGTTGCGGACTCGATCCCCAGTGGGGGCAGCCGATCCATGATTCTCTCTCCTCATTGATGCTTCTCTCTCTCTCTCCCTCTCCCTTCCTCTCTGACATCAATGAAAATATATTTAAAAAGAAGCCCCGACGACGCTGCACAGCGCAGTGGTCCAAACACACGCGGTGCCTCCCTATAGTCAGAGCGGCTGCTCGCTCTTGCTTTCATTCCCTCGTGTGCAGGGGCAGGAGAGGAGGGGAGAGGCCCGTGGCCGCCGGGGAGGTGCGAGTAGGGCCCCTCCCTGGGCGCGTGACTGTGACGCCCTGCAAGGCTGCAGGCCCAGGAGGGCCCAGCATGTCACCGAATGCTCCGCGGCTGCCGTCCTGAAGTGTGGGGCACCCGTTGACCAGGGCTCCCCACACTGTCCTCGTGTCTGGGCCCCACGGTGAGGTCGTTCCTGCTCGGTGGTCGTGAACGGCCTCAGTAACAACTAGGAGACCGGACAGTGACGGAAAGGCCATGAGCCGCACGGGAGGGCCCGTGGCGGGGCAGCGGGTGCGGGAGAGCCGGGCGGCCGTGCTGGCGCTGCTCTGTGTCCGGTGGATTTCTGCCCCGGGGAAAGCTTCCGCAGGAGGGAGGGGGTCCGGGGTGCGAGCTCCTTATGAGCGCGGGTCCCGCGGCGCTGGCTGCCCATCTGGCTCCGTGGTCAGATCCCAGGGTCAGAACTCCCCGTGGCTCCCCTCCAGGTGGAGTCGGTCCGGGGCAGGTGCTCGCTCTGTGGTTACGTCCCAGCGTGGACAGCGCTCTCCTCCTTCGCACCCATTTCTCCGGGCCCATCCCGGCCACTCAGCTGCCAATAACAGCCCCCTCTCGCCCCGCCCCCCGCCCCCCACGCTCACCATTCCCGAGTTCCACTCCTTCTCACTGACACGCACGGGGCTGTGCGGAGCAGGTGCTCAGCACCGTGAGCTGAACAAGGGCTGAGAGGGTGGCTGGCAGCTCCCTCCTGCCCTCTCCTCCCGCTGGTCTGTTCTCTGAAAACAGATCCAGGGCTCAGCCTTCTGAGCCCCCCTCTGGCTCCTCAGTGTGTGAGGCACCAGCTCCAGACCCGGAGCTTTCCTGCCCGAGTCCCCATGCGATTCGGGGCCCGTGTTTTCCAACCCACAGCCGGATGGAGACGCGAGCAGGAGGGTGTCCCTTAGTCTGCAGGAGCGGACCGGACATGGCCGATCTTACGGGAGCTTCTCCTTCTCAGGGGACTCCCTGGGCCTCTTCCCTGTTCTTTTTTTTTTTTTTCAATCTTCACCGGAGGATATAGTTGGTTATTGATTTGAGAGGGAGAAACATTGATGTGAGAGCGATACATTGATCAGCTGCCGCTCGTACACACCCCACCAGGGATGGAACCCACAACCTAGGCATGGGCCCTGACTGGGAATCGAACCTGCGACCTTTTGGCGCACGGGATGACGCTCCAACCACAGAGCCGCTGCCCGGGCCCCCTGTTCCGCAGTGGGGCCGGTGCGCCTGCAGAGGGGGCTCTGGGGTGACTCGGTCGGTCCTCCGTCTCGCTCCTCCTGAGAACACTCGGGCCTGGAGTCCTCAGCCCCAGGACTGCTGACCGCAAGCCAGTTCCAGTCCACAGTCTGCCTCCACCGCCCTCCTTCGTGGAACAGCCGCTGTGTTTCCGTGTGGGTGACCGGAAATGAGCCTCGAGAGACGTTTTCACCAGGTACTTATACGTGATCGGCTGGAGGCCGCGGCCGGACACTGAGCTCCTGGGCGGAGAGAGCTGTGGCCGTCATGTGGGAGGGGAAGCGCTGCACGGGGATGAAGCAGGCGAGGGGGAAGGTGAGAGCCCGTGTGCACAGCAGGGCCCGGATCCGCACATGCAATCGGCAGTGCCTGCTTCTGAGCAGCCGCCTTGGGTGGCGTCGGCCTCGTTCTCCTTGGAAAGACTTCTGCCTCCTCTGAAGTCCGCCTCGCTGATGGAGCGACAGGGCGCCATCACGGCGACTGGGTTTCCGGTGTGAGGGCCCCGGTGCCACGTTTCACGGCTGACTGTGGGCGATCCTTTTTTTGTTTTTTTTTAAGAGGAGCAGGAAGGCTGCTCCGTGGTTCTGTGAAGTTACGGGCACATGCATTTGTTTTTCCAGTTCCTTGCAGTGGAAATAATGACGGTTTGGATACCCAAAACCAGGTGGAAGGAATTCGGCCTGGAGATTAGTGCGTTTGACAGCCAGGAACGGGAGGAGCACATCTCGACATGAAAATCAAATAGATTTCAGAGCGTAAAACATTCTTTCCCCGTTCTAACAAAGTGACGTCTCGGAGTTGGCGTGTTTGGAAGCACCGCGCAATCGCCTGATGATTTTGCTCTGGAGGCACGTACACAGGATGGCTTTGGTGTGGAGGGAAATGGGAGGGAAACAGTGAAAATGAGAAGATTGTCCCTGGGCCGGAGATTTTGAGGATCTTAAGTGCTTCCCAAAGAGGAATAGTCCTTGCAGTCTCTGGATACTGTATGCGCATGTGTGTGCGTGTGTGAATATACATGTGTGTGCATGTGTGTGCGTGTTCCCAGGGCAGGGGCACAGCTGAGGTGGCTTCCTGGGTGAGGCCGGGCTGCAGGAAGCTGGCATTTCCAGGGTGTCCGGGAGGGAGGCGAGGGCCTGTGTGGTTTCCATGGTCACAGCACTGCTCCCGCCTTCCTCTCGGTGGTGACCAATGGGCCCGTGCTGGACCTGGAGACTGGACTCAGCTAGAGGAAATCTGTTCCCGTAGACTTCCCCCAATTCTTTCCCTGCGACCTTTATGCAAACATATAACTTTCAACACAGCATTGCTTCAGCGTCTCACTTGGGAGATCTGCTTAATCCTGGCTAATGGGGCCCGTGGACGCTAATGGAATGGTCCGAACACTCATACAGTTTTTAAATGTCCCCAAAGTGCATGTCGCTATATTCAGGGACCTCCCCGCTCGCTTGCCGTGGCCCCCCCTGCTCTGTCTCCACCTGTGTTTGGCGCCTCAGTGAAGAGTCCCCGTCTTCCCGAATACCTGTCACACCCCACCTTTATTATTTTTGAAAATATATATTTTTATTGATTTCAGAGAGGAAGGGAGAAGGAGAGAGAGAGAAACATCAATGACGAGAGAGAGTCATGGGCCGGCTGCCTCCTGCACGCCCCACACTGGGGATTGAGCCCACAACCCGGGCACCTGCCCTGACCAGGAATTGAACCATGGCCCCCTGGTTCATAGGTCGACGCTCAACCACTGAGCCACGCCGGCTGGGCACAGTCCTGCCTCTGGAAGGCAGGGCACAATCAGTAAGAGCCACAGGTGCGCTGGTGGGCACCAGGGCCACGGGCCGGGCTGCACCGTTCAAAAGAGAACAATGCGGAACCCAGGCTCCTTGTGTGTTTTGTGGGGTTCATCGTTCCCCTCGGCTCCTTCGGAGACAGGCGCTCAGAGGTCGCGGAGCCCGTGCCCACACCGCTCACGCAGCCGCACGAAGTAACCTTGGCACCACAGCTGCCGGGCCAGAGGCCCGGCCACAGCCAACACGGCCGGGCCAGCTCCTGCCCCCCGAGCAGGACAGCCGGCCGGTGGCCGGGCCTCACACAGGAAGCAGCACACCGAACCAGCAGCGGCCCGGACCCGCCTTCTCCCGAGAAAGGAAAGTGGACGCCAGAAGCCATACGTCTCACGAGCATTGTCTCACGTCTCATGGACGGTGCCGCCCTTCCCACCCGCCGGGAGAATGTCTCCACTCCCCAGACCCCCTGGGGGGCCCTGAGACCCTGTGTCCACTTCATAGAAACCCAGAGCCGGGATTAGCTGTTACTTATGCCGGAGACTCTGAAGAGCAAAGGAAAATACCAACACCCCCCCCCCCCCCCCCCGCCTGCCCTGCTGTGGCATCGGGTTTCTCTAAAGCACCCGCGTCCTGGCAGCTCACTTCAGTGGCAGAAAACGCGGAGACGCTGGGGTGCCAGTTCCCAAAGTTCCTTCTCCTAAAGACAACGAAGTGAAGCTAATGATCAGTGATCATGGCACACAGAGTTCCCAGTCCCTGCCAGGCAGAGGATTTAATAACATTAAAGTCTAAAAAGCTGCATCACCTCAGGAAAGCAATTCATTTCTTGCTTTGACTCGTTCCCAGAACACACCTAAAAAAATGCGTTATTTTCCTTCCCGGCATCAACGAAATATTTTCCAGAACCAGCGCCCCGCCCGCCCCGCATTCCTCCGTCAGGCCCCGCGCTGGAGACCGAGGGCTGGGGCTTCACAGACGCGCTTCTCCCAAGCCCAGCCATGGACCGTCATTTCCATCCTGCGGGGCTTTCTGGGGCACGCTCCCCCACGCAAACACGGAGTTTCCACTTGTTTGCGTTCTGTCTTTTTCTCTCCCCGCTTTTAAAAAGGATTTTAACTTTTGGAGGGATTGTTTTAAACAGTTTCCAAGGTGGGGACCTGTCCTTGGATCGCACGTCTGTCAAAATAGGGATTTCAGGGAAAACTGTGTCTCTGAGGCGCCGGGAGTCAGCCAGGCTGTCTCCGCGCTCCGACGGCTGTTGGAAACGCAGGCACAGTGTTTGCAGAAATCAGGAGCGCGTACTCTGCACGGGGGTTCGGAAACCCGGGGGTGAGGGAGGGTCCGGAGGGCTAAGGGAGCCGCAGAGGCGCGATGACAGCTCATTTTCCACTTGCGGGGGCTCCGCGGCCCCCCGGAGGCAGCCACCGCCCCCCAGGCAGCCCCCCAAGAGGCAGCCCGGGGCCGGGAGCGTGCACTTACCGTGATGGCCTGCAGCCGCTCCCGCAGCAGCGCCGCCTCGTCCATCCTAGGAGTCCCAGCCCGGCCGACGCTGCAGGAAGTCCCCGGCCACCATAGGTCAGGAGCCTCCCTGGGAGAGGGGCAGGGGTGACCGGGAGCCGGACAAATCCACCCCCAGTCCCGCCAGGGAGCAGCCGGGGCCGCCGGCGGGGCAGCGGCGTCTGGGAGCAGATGGACACACCGGTCAGCCAGACAGACACATGTAATGAGGGTGCGCCAGGCGGGCGGGCGGCGCCGGCTGCTGCTCCGCTGACTGACAAGTCTGAGCTCGGCTCCCAAGCCCTTTCCTCCAGGAGCTGCCAGCCCTTTGTTGTAACGCGCACAGCACAGCGAGCGCTCTCATTAACTGTTCCTTCCCCACGCCCGTCCTGCCGGGCTGGCAGGGGAGCCCACAGCCGGGTCCTCCCCAGGCTGGCAGGGGGAGCCCAGGCTGGTCCTCCCCGGGCTGGCTGGCCTCCGCCAGCGTCACCCAGGGCCCCTGTGGGGGTCTTCGTGTTTGTACAAGGCACTTCCCCTGCCCTCTCCTCCGGGCTCTGCAAAGACAGGGCCTCACCTTGACTTGGCCCAGGCCTCTGCCTGCTGTCAGCCCTCCTCTGATTGGCTATAGATAATCATGACGAATTCGAGGCTTTCCTTAGAACTTGCTAGAGTGGTAAACTGGCCTCCCCTCTCCCTCACCCTCCCGCTTCCGCAGTGGTTTGAGTCTTGGGGAACCTTCAGGTCACGGGGAATCGCGGGCATGAGGGTGACTGTTGAGATCCTGGCCCCGCAGCTGTCAAGGGACCCCCCCCCCCACCCCCTGTGCGCACCGCCCCCCATGAACTCCTGTCCCGGGTCTCTGAGGAAGGCAGGCCTGCCTGGGACCTTGATCAGAAATGACGCTCGGCTCTTGGGACGCTGCCCTTGCTGACCTCCCGGTTGTGCAAGAGGAAGGCTGGGCCTCTGTCGGTGCGAGCAGACATGCCTGGCTCCCACGGGTCCTCGCCGCCGGGCCTTCCCCTTCGGCGGAGAAGCCGAGCCCCTGGAACGCTCAGTTCACGGCGGAGCTGGAGCTGGGCCTGGACTCCATGCTTCCCTGCCATTTCCTTAATCCCCTTCTGAGCAGCGGTCCTCATCACCATCTCCCTCGTGTGTGGCCGCCATCGGACACCTTCCTATGGGCACTGAGCTGAGAGCTGCAGGGACGACCTCTGCAGGGGACACGCAGTTCAAAGCCCGTGGCGCTGTCCACGGCGGTGCCACACCAGCTGGTGCTCGTGAGCGCTCCCTATGGGCAGATGCTGGGCATCCTGTGGATCTTGCGAGAGCCTGGGAGACAGATGCTACAGGCCTGGTTTACACACGTGGAAACTGAGGCCCAGGGAGGAAATTTTACTTGGCCAATCAGTGGCAAGGCCAGGGCCGGGACCTGGAAGCCCGACACTGTAACCGCTGTTCCTCGGGCTGCTCAGGGACCGGGGCAGGGTGGGAAGGGCCCCCCGCCTCCTCCTCCAGGGAACTCCCAGAACACGTAGCCGGGGTCACCCCTCGGTGGAACCCTGTGGGAATCCCCTTTAGAGAAGAGATTTCTGCATATTCTCATGTAGAGCCCCCTATCCCCACCCCCCACCCAGCCATGGAACCTGAGGTGAAAGCTGCCGGTTTCCCGTCTGAAATCATACCTGAGCGTGGGCTGTCCTAGCACCTACGCCCTCAAAAGATGTTCAGGGGGACAAGAGTGTGAAGGCGTGGTTAGGGGTGGGCCAGTGTGAGTCCCATTGGGGGGATATCTAAGCTGATAAGAAATAGCAAACCTTCAAAACGGTCCATGTCGTCGACCTGCAGATCCTGGCTGCCGGGTGGTGATAAACACCTCAGTCAAGAGTGTGTGTCTGCTGCCCAGAACCGACGGGCCTCCATCCAGTTATTGGTCAGGATCTTTTCCTAAAATCAACCTACCGCTAGGATCTCATTCTGCTCCCGGAAAACATCCTGAAGGGGAGGGTGAGATAGAAGAAGGCGGTCAGGGGATCCAGGAGGCAGCAGAGTGGGGGCCACTGGTTGGCGTCGCCGTGCGTGTATTCATTTATGTAGAGGACAACATTAACAACTGCTGCTACTGTAAAGCATTTGCTATTCCTTTAACCTGCGTGTATTTACCCAGCACCTATGATGCGTCAGGCGCTGGGCCAGGTGTTCGGGATGCATGGATGTACGTATGTATCCGCCGGAACTCATATTTGAGTAGACGGTGGAAGACAAACATCATGAGCAAGCACAATACAGGAGGGGAGAAGGGGATCATGTTAGTGGGAGTCCTCTAAGGAACCAGTGCCGGATGGAGTGGATTGTTGGGTTTTATCAGTAGGACGACCATAGGAGAGGCCATGGGGAGGTAGGACGAAGAGGCCGGAGCTGGGAACGCCTGGGAGAGGGGTCAGACCTGGTGCGAGTCTGACCCGGGTGAAGGAGAGAGGGGGGCAGGGCTGGGTCTAAGGAAGGTCACCGACGCTACAGAGAGTCTTGGAGCCCAGGTCCGGCATGTTTCAGGAACAAGGTGATCCGACAGGGAGGAAGGAGAGGATGGTGACAGGGGACGTGGCTGGAAATGGCACAGGCCTCAGCTCAGGCAGGGTCCTGGCCATTGTGAGGACTCAGGCTGTTTTCCGTGTGGGGCAGGAGGCCATGGAGATGCTCTGAAGCCGGAGGCCGGGCGGCCGGGTAGGACGCCACTGCAGTTGAGAAACGACGGCAGCTGGAGCCCAGGAGGTGGCAGCGAGGGCAGTGGGGATGGGTTGGACCGTGGATGTGTTTTAACGTGGGACGAACAGGATTTCCTGCGGTTGGATGTGGGGTTTGAGGAGAGAGGCTTCGAGGTAACTCTCAGACGGAGCACATGGCAGTTGCCATCGGCTGAGGTGGGAAGAATGCCTCGCGCACGACACACAGATCTGATGGCTCTGATGATCGGTGGCATGGTTTTCCAAAGACAGGACGCGGCCTACAGCCGTTTCTTCTTAGGCGCTTGGTAAAGATTAGCCTGCGACTTTCCTGTAAGTGAAGTATTCCGGAGGCCCCCATGCGTGCTCCCCTACGCCCCCCAAAAAAGAATTCTTCTAGCAGACAGCAGCACGTGTGCGTTCGTCATGCTGCTTTCTCTTTGAACATCACAGTTTTGTTTTTTCAGGCTCAGTTTCCTAGAATTCCAACCACTGCCGCATTTAGCGCAGAAGGACATGTAACTAAGCCCCGGGGGCCTTTGGAGATGAAGGAGACAGCTGTTTCCTGAGCACGGCCTCGGGGATCCAACAGCCTATAGAAATAGCCACAGATTTAAAAAAAACCCCACGAACAAACCAAGCACACAGACAGCCGAGTAATCCCCCCACACCCGGCGAACGGAACGAAAGTGCTCTGTAGCCGGAAGAGTCCCCTTCTCACGCGCGCACAGCAGGAGAAACGAATGCTGAACATAGCTGGGGCCTTAGCCTCGGGTCTCCTCTGCCCCGTGGACAGGTGGACGTGGAGATACCGGCATCATGGGATGTGTCGGCATTGCTGTGAGCCGGGGAGGAGTCAGGGGCCAGCAGTCCGAGTGCGCATTCCTCCGAGATCAAAGACAACAGGTGCCTTCGCCCAGTGGGTTCCTCTCCATCCGCTGACATTTGCGGCGTCCACACCCCCGCACCGCGTGCGCCGTGGAGGGGAGAGAAAGGACCATGTAGGCTGGGCTTTTCACGTCCTGGTTCTGAGTCCGAGGCTCTGTGAGGACGGCCCGTTGCCTGACTCACTTCCCCTCCTTTGTGGGCTGGGTGCCGGAGCTTTCTCGCCATTGTTCTGGGGTTGGGTGTTTTCAGAAACCCTGTTCGCTGGGATGCCCTCCCCCGGGCGCTTTCATTTCCAGCCGAGTCGACGCTGCTTAAAATGTTTGCCCCAAAGAGTGTGTCTGAGCTCCGAAGCGCCTGGCCTAGGCCGTGGTCTGCGATCGCACGCGGACGCTGGGGTTGGCGTTGGTGGTTGGGTTTGCCTTCTGTGTGGGCTCAGCTGCTCTTCGAACCGGGGCGTGTAGAGCTTTTGTTTTGGAAAATGATTTCTCCATTTCCTCCCAAGTTGGTGATTTTCGTTGAAGGAGTAGCGGATTGCAAGCGTCACCGTTGAGTAGCTGCAAGTTTTCGCCGTAGATTTCCACAGAGGAATCCTGAGTGGGGCCCCTTTTGTTGCTGAAACACCTGCCTGCCCTTTCCCGTTCTCCTTACGTGTGACTCTCCTTTTCCCGTGGGGTCTGCACTGGGATCATAAACGCAAAGAGAGAAGTTGAAACTGACCGTGGAGGAGCTGTGCTCCCCGGAAAGAAGTCATTGATCCTGGAGTCCGACTTGTTCCTGAATTTCGACACGGGGAGTCCTAGGTCAGACAGCTAGGCCTGCATTCCCTGAGGAGGCCTGCAGGACAGCGTGGCCCCCCGGGAGTGCAGGTGCGGCCCTGGATGGGGAATTGTAGAGGGTAACACCAGCAAACGGGAGCTCCAGTTGCTTGTCCATTCATCCGTCTACACGTCGCACGTCGGGTGAACATCCGCTGACTGTGCAACCAGCAGCGTGCTACGTGCTCGAGACGGATGCACAAGACAAGGAGCCCCTGTGCGTGGCGAGGCAGGAGGAAAACAGAAGACAAGCAGACCCTGTGCGAAAGTGCTGAGTAGCCAGATCCGGCTCAGGGCAGAGGCAGGGCCTCGCTCCCGCCAAGTCAGCCGGCGGAGAGGCCCGCTCGCGGAGCCGAGTATCTGAGCCAGTTGGAGCTGGACAGCGTGCGGTGAATTAGCCAAGAGAACGAATGAGAGTGCGGGCAGGGAGGCAGAGAAAACTTGTGTAGTCCCAGCCCCTGGTTTTCTAAATGATGGACCAGCTGACTCATCCTCCCAGGCACTGATCCCTTCGCAGACGGTGGGACGCCAGACTTGCCAAGCCGTCGTGTGCAGGCCTGTAAGTCCTCAGCTGGTTACGTAAGGCGTGTGGTAGTCAAAGGCTACGCATCTGTGTACACACAGGCACACGTCATAGATTTGTCTGCATATGTTTATTAAGGATCTCCCACCAACTCCCATACACCAGAACCTGACTCTCCGCCCTCAGAAATTAATCGATGTAGGTGGTCTTGGCATCGGAGACGCGGGCCTACGTTCTAACTTCTGCATGTCCTGGGCGAATGGACTTCGAAAAGTCACGTCATAGCGGAGAGACGCCGAGTGTGACAGCAGTGCTCACGCTACTTTTTGATCAAGGGTAAGTGATGCGTTAGATAAAGGCGGTCACGGAGCCTGACAGATCCGTAATCCGTGGCAACGAGCTTATTATTCATTCAGTCAAGTGCTGAGAAAGGTCACATGATGGGTTCTCTCAGGACTTTGACATTTGCTGAATGTGTCTTTCCTCATGTACAACCCAACACAGTCATGGCCTCCTTCGGAGTCTCATCTTTCTCTGTGAGCCAAGGAGCGGTCAGATGTGCTCCTTTCCAAATGGGGAAACCGAGGCAGAGGTGGACGGACGTGGACAGAGAGC